CTGATTGGATAAATGGCCGACTGATCGTCTATCCTGGAAACAGACAACCAGTCGTCCAGGGGCATAGGCGGCGTGACTAACTTTCCGTACCTGTCTGCAACTATCGGCCATGTAAAACAGTCGGTCTAGTGAACAATTGGATATTGGAATATTCAATACTTAGACAAATTTGAGGCAAAACAAAAATTCATTAAAAATAAGCCGGTCATTAAAGACCAGCAAAATATTCAAAGCCCCGGCCCCCTGGCCGGGTAAATACAAAGCAAACGGCACGCAGGCCGTGGAAAGAATACATAAAGCTTAAGAAGGGGGCAGTTCAGTATTAGCAGCTGCCGCCTGGTCAGCACTCTTCTTGCTGGACTCGGCTTCAGCTGCATCCTTTTTTGATGCCTTACCCCCAAGCGGCACAAGCGCCACTACCGGCTCCTCCTCCTACAACGCTTCCTCCAACGCCTCTTCTTCAGCAGCCGCCAGGATCTCTTGATTATATGTATCCGAACACTGGCGGTACGTTCTCTCCCAAGAGGCAAAGTCGGCACTGGGGAAGAGGCGGCCCCAGGTCATGTGCTGGATTTGAGCGGAGTCTTCCATCATCTCCTGGACCAGCTCTTTCTTCTCTTGCTCGGCCTTTTCCGAGAGCTCTTGGGTAAGACTCTTCTCCTGGGTCACCAGGCGTTCCTTTACGCTGGCCAAGGATTTCTCCATGGCTTCGTAAGAGTACATTTTCAGGCGAAGAGGTTTCAGCTCGGCCTTGAGATTTGTGATGGTCGCCTCCAGCTCGTCATTCTTCTTCTGGGCCGCCTCTAACTGAGCCCGAACAGCGGCGGTAGCCTGCGCCTGATAATAAAGAATATCAATGGTCAGAACTTCATTTTGGGCAATTTGAAACATTGCCTTATCACAGTAAGAGGCGACCATAGCTTTTGCAGCCTTTACCTCTTTGTTCTTCCGATCAAGCGGCTTGCGAAGGCCGTTAACTCGGAGCAGGGCCTGAGTACAAAGAAACAGGCGTCAGTTTCCAAACAAAAAATAAAACAGGCGTCCAGAAATTCAAATACTCAAAAATATGCTAAGTATACCTCAGCAGGGACCCCTGCAATCCCGTCAAGGTCAAGGGTGCCGACACCCCTGACCGCCTCCCTTTCGGCTGGAGGAACTGCCCTGATCATAGACTTGGCCATCTCTACCAAGTCAGGCTCCTGGGGGCCGGCTGCATCAAGCATAAACAAACGGATTAGACTTAGTAAAAAAAGGGAGCAAGTCTAAAATTTACAAGGACAACTTCATACCTCTAGGCGGCCCAGTTGGAGTTTTAGAAGAAGTGGCCGGCTGTTTCTCAGCCGCCACCTGTTTCCTGGCAGAACCAGGAGAGCTCCCAACAGTCGTCTTCCGGGCCTTGGGGTTCGGCTGTTGGGAAGATGAAGCTCTTGGAGCACCCGTCTAAAACAGAAGAAAAAAGTCAGTATATGCATAAACACTCCAAAAAGAGGGTGAAAGGTTCGGAGCTCACCAAGGGTGCCCCCTTTTTGGGGGAGTCGGTTGAAGCTTGTTGCATAATAGAGGCCCGCAACATGGCCGCCGCAGTCTTGGAGGCGGTGATTTTGCTCATGGCGTCAGCTGCAAAAACAAACAGCAAAGTTAATAAAAGATAAACAACAAATGTATGGAACAACAGAGTATTCGACAGGCCGACTACCTCTTGAGCACCGACTGCTGAGGCCGCAGGCGGCCAAAAAGTACTCGTCATAGAGCCACTTGAAGCTCGGGACGTAGTGCAGGGGTACTTGCTCTCGTACCCCTGAAGTAGAGTCGACCCTCGACTCTACTTTAAAGAGTCCTTTATCAAGGATCTCTTTCTTAGCCTTGGGGGGAACAGGCGGCATGCTATGGTCGCCTGCAAGAAGGGGCGGATTCCTGTTCCACCTATTGAAGCGCTTGTTCAGCTCAATGTCTGAACTCTCAATGATGAGGAAGGTGCTCCGCCAGTCCTTCCACTTGTTTGCTTTACCTCTTGTCATGAGGTAGCCCCTGTGGCTTGTCAGTTGATACCAGCCGGTACAGCCTGTCTTAGGGGTCCGGCTGAGATAGATCATATGGGCGAAAGCCTCGAAGCTCGGCTCCACCCCGTGCAGCTCGCACCCGGCCACATAGCCGAGTACGTTGACCCAGGAGTTTGGGGCTAACTGCCATAACCCCAACTCATACCCATCCAAAATCCGCTGAACAGCCGGATGTAATGGGAAGCGAAGCCCTGCCTTGATGGCCGCCTCGTAGCAGCCAAAGCAGGCGCTATCATAACTGGAACCAGCCGGCCAGACGACTGTGTCTTCTGGATCCGGCACAAACACTAGAAAATCGGGGCCCATGGTGTGGTTTGCAATAAAGCTCTCCACTTTCTCTTGCATGGCTGTGATTCGGCCCCGAGGTACCGTGCAGTAGTAGGGGGTATTTAGCTCTCGGTAAGAGGCGGATGGTTCCGCCCAATTGTCCCCCTTCTCAACTGCGTGAGAAAGTCTCGCCTCTTGCAGGCGGCTGTTTTTCTCTTCTGTACCCAAAGAAGCATGGCCAGAAGAGCTTGACTCGGAATCGTCCTTCGACGAGTCCGAAGAGGACCACTCCTCCCCTCTCCCGGAGGGGCCCGCCTCCTCTCTTTGAAAAGGAGCAGATTTGTTAACTATTAAATGGGAAGGGGTCACTATGACTCCCCCCACAGAATTGCCGGCATCCAGGCCGCCTTGTTTCACTTCCACATCTGGCGCCTGGTCAGATGTTTCACTAAGCGGCACCCTGTGGGAGGAGCCGTCTGAATTTGAGATTCTAGCTGTCTTTTTGGTTCTGGCCATCCTGCTCTGCATAGACACAGATACAGTCGGACTTTGTATAAAGGGCAAAGATGGGTCCGGAAAAGGGCAGGCGGCACTCCTAGTCCTAGATTCAGCCGTCCCCGGTGACCGGCTGATCACTAACCTAGGTCGTGTCGTGTGCTTCCGTGGTGCCATTTCAGAAAATAAAAAGAAAATTAAGAGTAAGAGAACTGAGTTACCTGAACGAGTGACGGTTGATGAAGTTCTGAAAATCCTGTGCAGTCGGCTTGTCAGAACAGGCGGTAGGCAGAAAAGGTCCAAAATTTCAGAGCAAGTTCAGGGGTCCGAATGTTCTCAAAAAGTTCTCAAAGTGTGAAAATGACTCAAGACAACTCTCCCTTATATAGGCGAAGTGAGAAGGCGAAGGGTCACTTTCAGAATTCAAAATTTGGGCGGGAAAATCTCTCGTCCTTTCGCCGACTGACACCTGTAGCAGGCCGTCGCCTGTTACAGTGCGACACCTGTCACAGGTAACATGTGACCAATCACGTGCCACCTGTGAGGGGCAAATGATTAGGGGATTTTGCTCCCACCAATCGGAATGCGCCACGTGTACCAATCAGGTCCTGCCAAGTGTCCCCCAGTTGGAACAGTCAGGGCTTCCCACGTGGCACACGCTTATTCGTCCACCTTGGACCTGTTATGTCAAGACATGTGGCATACTCCATGCCTAATGGAGAAACCGGCCACCCAGGCCCAACTTCCGAGGGAAGCCCAATCGGCCCTAGGTTTACCTAAACCTAGGATGGGCACGTTTTCCAAGGTTATAAATACCTCCCTTAATCCTCATTAAGAAGAAAAAACAGAAACATTACGGAAAAACACATTAATTACACACAGTAATAACCGGCTGATCTCGCTAACAAAGCAGATTACCTACATTAAACACTCTCACCTAGAGAGACCAAATCACTTTAATTTCCGCATTAATTACTCCTTAATCAGGTACTAACTTGACCGTTGGAGGCGGAGCTCCCAGGAGTCTCCGTTATTTTGCAGGTACAGGCGTCCGGTTCCAGTCTCGGAATTGTAACTCTCCCGCAGGACATTAGAAAACCCCGAAACAAGCAGCATAGAGGGAAAGTCGGCAGGCAGCAACATAGAGGAAAGGCAGCAGGCAGCAGCAAGTTAGCATAGCAACAGCAAATTAGCAAAGAGCCCACATCAGTCTATTATTTGCACTTCATCAATATCAGCATCACTAATTGCCATATTCTTCAAATCTATCATAATTCATAACAAAAATAACCAAGTTAATATATATATACATAAATGAAAATATGTAAATTTTGATTAGATATTCTTATATATTACCTTCTTCAAGCAGCTCAACTTCCTCTAAACATTCTTCAATACTTGGAAATGGTGAAGCACGTAACCAATTTTGAGCACAAACAAGACCTTCTACAACTCGGGGAGTTAATGAGCTCCTAAACTGATCTAGAACTCTGCCACCAGTGCTGAATGCACTCTCAGAAGCTACTGTCGAAATAGGGACAGCTAGAACATCACGGGCAATTCTCCCCATGGTAGGAAACCTTGAACAATTGAACTTCCACCAGCTCAAAATATCAAATTCACCTATATCATCTGCCGTATCCTCCTCCAAATATTTGTCCAACTCTATTTTTGCATCTTCATCTTTCTCACACTTGTGTTTCTTATACTTACTCTTTAAGACTTCAATCTTTTTATGTTTGGGAGACAATGGAGTTTTGTCATCCTTACTTGAAGACACTTCCTCCCTATTCACATCATTAGATGAAGAAACACGATACTCCTCATACAAAGCATTCAAAGTTACCTTCACATTATCAACCAACTTTGATGCAACAATAGGATCATAAATTTCAGTTATCATCCACTGAACATAATCAAGATTATAACGAGGATCAAGGACAACGTCAATAAAAATCAAGAGGTTTATTTTTTCTGGATCACCCCAATACTTTTCATATTTTTCTTTCATTCTACAAGCCATAAGACACATATCCGGATCATCACTTGAAACCAAATCTTTCAAAAGTACAGCAACACTCACCAATTCATGAAAAAACAAATTGGAAGTGACATATAAAGAGCCAGAGACATGCAAGGTCAGATCATAAAAGGCTTGTAGAAATTCAGAAAATCTTCTCACATTATTTTACAATCATCAGAATCAGGGCTACCCTTACCATCCCTCTCATTCAAATCAACTACATAGTGGGGGTCTTCCTCAGAATACCTCTCAAAAGCATCCTCAAGTTCAATAGCAGCATTCAACATCAAATAGGTGGAGTTCCACCTAGTAGGCACATCAAGGCACAATCCCTTTGTTGTGTTGATTTTTTCATCTAAGACACATTTTTTAAACCTTTGCAACCTAGCAGGAGATTGGTTGATAAACCTAACAGCATGCCTAACACGTTGAACCGAATCATTAACAATTTTCAAACCATCAGAAACAACCAAATTGACAATGTGCGCAACACAACGCATGTGAATGAAACGACCCTTAAGAACCCCAGTTTTCCATCCATTTATTTTCCTTCTCAAATACCCAATTGCAGTATCATTTGAGCTAGCATTGTCAGCAGTTATGCACATGATATTTTCAACCCCCCCAATCAAGCAAACACTTTTCAATTTCTTTGCCAATATCATCACCCTTATGACTAGAAATAGGACAAAAATTCAGAATTCTTTTGTGTAATTTCCAATCATTATTAATGAAGTGGACAGTGAGGCACATGTAATTGATTTGTTGTATTGAGGTCCATGTATCAGTGGTTAAAGAAACTCTTGAATTACACCTCTTTAACACATTTTTCAACTTTCGTTTTTCAGTTAAATATGTTTCAAAACAATCTTTGGCTACTGTAATGCGAGAAGGAACATTAAATCTAGGTTCCATTACACCACAAAAGTGTCTAAAACCTATACCTTCTACAAACTTAAATGGAAGTTCATCAACAATCACCATAAATGACAAAGCTTTTCTAATACTACCAGCATCAAATTTGTGGTATGTCAACCCACTAGTACTACCACTTGGTACTTTAGCCCTTTTGAATGAAAGCAAACTTTGTTTTGAATCTTTAGGGGTGTTTAAGGGATACTTACGACATCGCGAAATATGAGCCCATAACACACTGGTGCCGTTTTTCTTTGCCCCACACTTGTAACTCATTCCACAATACTTGCAAATTTCCTGCCTTCCAGAAGCCAAATATTCTTTAATAAAGTGCTCCCAAACTTCAGAGCGCTCTTTCATCCTCTTCCTTTTTGCTCCCTGTTCTTTATTCTGATTTTCTGAGACTTGGTCAGTCTCATGTTCAGACTGAGGCTGGTCAGGAGCACCACCCACATTGGTTGCCATTGGCCTAGGACATAAATAAAACCAAATTAATAGAGCAGAATGCAGAATGCACAATGCATCAGAACAACATCACAACACAGCAGAACAACATCACAAGTTCACAACAACACAGCAGCAAAAGTTCACAACACAGCAGCAAAAGTTCACAACACAGCAGCAAAAGAACAGCATCACAATTCATAACACATGCATCCATGTAGTCTTAACCATTTCTTTGAAAATACAGTTACATTTCTTTGAAAATGTACACTGTAAATAGCTATGAAACTAATACAGAGTGTATCTGCAACTACTTAGGCCTAGTGTAGCATGTAGACTGTAACAAAGTATTTCGCAAATAAAACATAAACGAACATTGCCTCACAAACAACATCACAATTCACAAGTTCACAATCAACAATCGAGTGTATATTCACCCAAAGATACTAGAGAATTCAAGGGAAGGAACAGCCGAATAGATCTGAATTTTTTATTAAATTGTACATGTAAATTGTAATTTTATCATGATTCAAACTCATCTTTAATAATCATTTTCGTAATTAACACTACTCATAATTAAAACCTTAAGAAATTAACTTTCATTTTCCAGATTTGAACCAAGTAAATGCTTAATCGCAAATATGAAAAATTACCTTTGGACGGCAGGACGGTGGAGGAATGGACGGTGGATGCTGGACGCTTGGACGGTGAACGGTGGTGGAATGGACGGTGGAATGGATGAGAGTTTGAGACTTAGGGTAAGAGGCTGAGAGCGTGGAGGATTCAGACTTTCAGAGGAAAACGCAAATAGATTAGGTTTTTTTTTGGGTTTATATACTTAGGGTAAATTGGGCCTAATATTTCGGTTTTTTCGGTTTTATTCGGTTTTTAATTTTCTCAGACCGAAACCGAACCGAAAACCGAATTTTTTTTTTAACAAACCAAACCGAACCACTTTAGGAAAAAAACCGAACCATATTTCTTATTCGGTTTGGTTTTCGGTTCGGTTTGGTTTTAAACCGAATTTGTTTCACCCCTAGAAATAATAATAATAAATAAATAAAAAGTTATGTATGTGGGGTTGGTAGGAATGAGAAATATAATAAAATATTTGTGAAAGTGAGGTTAGTGGGAGAGAGTAATTATAAAATATTAGTGGACTCTTTTCCAAATATAGTAGTGTTGCAACTAATATAAAACAATCGAAAATGAAAAGTGTTGCAACTAATGCGAACGGAGGGGGTATAATTGAAAGAACAAATTAACCCCTTGAAGGAAAAAAAATTGAAATTAGTAAGGGTAAATTAATAATTTTGTTAGTTATCTTAGAGCAACTCCAACGGTTGTAGCTAGGGACTTGATTGTAATATTAAATAATCCATAGCTACTAGCTTGACTATTGGAGCAAGAAAATGCAATTAGCTTGGTCAAGCTAATTTGCTTGGAAAAAACTTGTCAAAATAAAACAAATTAGAATAAGTATTTTGAAATACTTCATATAAAAATGCTAATTAAGAAAGTCGGGTTCATATGAATAGTAAACTAATAACTAGCCATTGGTGCTCAAATTAACTAAAATAACAATTAGCTTAAAAACTTATGTGACATGGCGAACTAATTATTAAATTAGGTTGCCATTACGAGTACTCTATTTTCTCCTTATCCTACCCAATAATTCTCTATCTTATTTTGTTGTTAATATGTTATGCATGAGCCATGATTCACTATTAAGGCTTATTCTATCTCTCATACCAAACGCTTGGGTAGAACACCAATTATATCACCTCCATCTTCATCTCGTTCCTTTCTCCAAATCTTCCCCAGAATAATTCAAAATGCATGAATATCACAGAAGATATTCCATACTCTTTCTCTCTCCTCCCAAATCCCACCACTTAGCTCTCACAATCACATTGCATGATCGACAATTTGTGAGGTTTTCGGCAATTGATGTGAAATCATGGATAAAATCGGCATTGAATCTCCGAGATAAATTTGTTGAAATTGGAGGTAAATTAGGGAAGATCCTGACATATATTAATCTGTTCATGTACACGTCTCTTATAAACTTTATCTCTTTCAAAAATTTATTTCCTGTTAAAAGGGATTTATTTCCTAATATAAGTTAAAAGAATTTATATCCTAATTTACAATATTTTTTTTTAATAAATAGTCAGAGTTGGGAAGTTTGAGACATTGGAAACTCAGAAGTGAAAACAACACCGATAACTTTGAGAGTTTGGTTTCTTACTTTGTCTTCCTTATTAATTAATTAATCAAACAAACAAAAACCAAATTAAATTTGTTCAGAGTCATGCCATCTAATCTGATCAGTAATCGTATTCATGAGGAGGCAATCTTCAATCCCAGGTTTGTTTTTTTTGATAAATTTTGATTGAGATTTCAATTACAGTAATAATCTTTGTAAATTTTGTTTATTTTATATCGGATGATTAATTTTTTGATGTTGGGGTCGGTAGTTTTTATGGTGGATATAAATTGTTTGAATCTTTGGATAGGTTGATTATTCAATGATTATTTTTTGACACAATTATTTGCTGAATTTATTTATCAGTTTGAGTATTTATATTGTTATGTATATGGTTAGTTCTTGGGACTTTTTGTTTATGATATGTGGTTGGCTTGTTTAAGATGGATGTTTGCAGTTATTGATGTGATTTGTTTGTTTAAGGAAAAAAGTGAAGATGGAAGTTAACTGGGCAGACCTGCCGACTGATTTGTTGGTTCGTATAGTTGATAAACACATAGTATCATTCGTAGACGGTCTAGCCTTTTCCGGTGTGTGTCGTTCGTGGCGCAAAGCTTGTGATACAGTCAATTTGAAGCGGAAGTGGGATTGTCAAATGCCGTGGCTTATGTTAACTGATGGCAACCAGGATATCAACGAGGATGAATGGATACAGTATCTGGAACCTGATCGTTTAGAGAATGTGATTGAAGCAGAGAGTGTTGAAGACAAGTTTGATGATATTAATACTACTCGAGGCTTGTTGGATTTAACGCATGAGAAAGTTAGGTGTTACAATGTCAAGTGTGATCTATGAATTGTTGGGGATCATCTCATGGTTGGATACTAACTCATGGGATTGATGATAACATGTACTTATTTAACCCTCTTACCAAGGATCGCCTCGATCTCCCTTGTCGCCGTACAATCCCCTTCCTTCGGGATAATTCTGGTGAATTCCTTGGTGCATATTTCATAAACAGGGCTGTTGTACTTAAGGTATCAGGTGATACTTTAGTGGTGGTACTTATATATGATGCCTATCTTAGAGCTGCAATTGCCAAGCCCGGGGACACACAGTGGACACCAATTATATCTGAGAAAAGGGCTATTTACCGGAGGGTTATGGATGTATTATACCGTAGGGATAATCTTGGTACCGATGGACTTGTATTTGTGAATGAGTGTGGCAATATTGCACTGGTAAACCTTGATGATGTTCAGAATAAGAAACCTCTGGCATTAAGTTGGTACAGATGTTACGTACCGTATATACGATTTGTATTTCAAAATACAGATTCAGAACTTAATTTTTCCGATCACACTACCTACATAGTTAATTACAAGACAGTTGGTTTTAAGGTTTACAAGTTTCACTTTGATGACAAGAGTTGGGAAGAGTTGAAAGATTTGCAAGATGTTGCTCTCTTTGTGGGTAACAATGCAACTATGTCTGTTCGCGCAACTGAGATGGGATGCCAACGCAATTGCGTATACTTTGCAGATAATTACTCATCCGGTTCTAAAGCCACCAAAGATAAACTAACGGGACATGACATTGGTGTTTTTCAAATGGGTGAAAATATCATCCGGCCATTAAAGCTGGAGAATAACACCCACTTACGCTCTTCCTATTGTTGTCCCATGTGGTTTCGTCCTGCAATTTAAATCTAAACTTGTTTTTTTTCATGTACAATCATTAATTTAGATTTGCTTACATTTTCTGTGTTTTATTGTTCTAATTATTTGCTGGATTTTGTTTGGACGGTATCAATGTTCTTGAGTGTAAATATTAATTCTGACCTTAGTATTGTTGAATGCTTGAATTTGCCCTCTTAATAGGAGTTTAGATCTTCCCTTTCCACTATAACATTTGCTTTTCAATAGACCAAAACTTGCTAATGCAAAATCTCAATTGCACACGATCGTAAATTTGTTGGGTTATGGCTATGGGCCTATTAGCTGCATCATATCAGCAAATCTAAAAGATTTTTTTTTTTTAAAAAAAAGTTACATATTTTGGCCTAGGTAAGGTAGAGCTGCCTACACCCCCACTCCTTCCGAATGACGGCATCTTGGTTGTTTTTTCAGTTTTGAATCACCTAAAATGTTTACTCCCTCCGAGTTTTTTTTAACTTTTTAAGTGTTACAGTTTGACCGCCATATAGTTTTAGGCAACTTAATTGACTTAAATAAAATAAGAGGTAAGTGGAGTAGGAGTATAAAAAAATTGTAAAAGAAAAATACTGCGGTTAATAATTTATTGAAGAGTAGTGAATGTTAGAAGAAAAATATAATAAAATAAGTAGCAATGGGTTTGGGTGGTGATCATGAGAAGAGAGAGATATACTAATATTTTAGTGTAGCTTTTTGCCAAAAAAAGAAGTGTAACACTTATTAAAACTAGGGGAGCCAACGCGCGCGATGCGCGCGGATCGGTTTGCCTTTTCTTGTTTAGAATGTGTTTTGTTTATGAGGTTTTGGTAATTGTTTTTTGGGTTAATTATTTTTTATTTGAGTTGTTTGTGGGTTGTTGTTTTGTAAAGGGAATTGTGGTTTACGTGGCTATCATATTGGAGTGGTGCTATTAGCTTGAAATGTACAGTAATTGAAATTTGTAATTGCAATGAGTTGGTGTTGTGACTATCAATTGGAGTGGTGCAATGATCTTTAAACTTGCCATTTATTATTTGATTTCAATAAAAGAGTTCTTACATGGCACATAATTTAAGATTAATCCTAATAGTACGGAGTACTTAGATAGATATAATGATATGCAGTAAGTATTCTTATATGGTAGTACTAAATTATTGTAAATATGTAGCTAAGTATAAGGTGTCGTTTAAGGACAAACGACTACTTCTTGTTTTTTGTTGTAGGACTTTCATGTGTCGTCAAATCTCAACGTCTTTGATAGCCCATTTGAGCACCCCGATTCTAGTTAGAGAAGTTGTTGGTGCTATTTGGAATTTGATGGTCCTCACCTTTAGGTTGCTAGCTATATCTTCAAATTCTGGCCAATCACCCTGCCCAATAATGCACAAAATAAAATCAGAAAGCTTTAGGACTGTTTTTGTTGAGTTTTTATTCGAATTATATGGCCTTTCCCCTTTTTTTTCCGTTCTTACCGCCATTTTCTTCTCATATATCTCTGAAGTAGGGAGACCAATGAGCTTTTCACAGTCTTCAGCAAAAGCAGTGAGTCTTAGTGTCCCAGTGGCGTCACTCACATCGATTGTGAAATTTACCCTGTGTGTAAAGGGACATTAGTATTTTGGTTATTGTAGTTGTTGCATTTGTTGATTTGAGTTGATTCTTACCTGACTGCGGCAGTACTATTTTTTTTTTAGCAGTGTAGGCATTTGAAAGTTGCGTCCTTTGCTTCTTGGCAGCGCTTTCCACAGTTGTTACATCCTAAGTAAGCTAGCAGATTTTCCAACTGAGCATCAGGGATAGTGGCTTGTATCCAATGGCGTTCTTCTTGCATTGTGTTTGCAGCCTGCTAATAGGTAGGTATTTGTTATGTAGCGGGGTGGGGGTTGTTGTCCTTACATTTTTTTGCTCAATTTCATAGATAGTTTTCGCTGCTGGTGTTCTGATGTGCAGTATTTTTGTTGCCTGGTCAAGAAGCATTCTTGTTTTTCTTTCATCCTAGGATGTTTTGAACGAATTTAGTACAATTGATTAGCATTAGATATTGTAAGTATATTGTGTTTTTCATTGCTTACCATGTTCGAAGAGCATATGCTTCCTCCCCCATAGGATCTGAGATGATAGTAGTTGACATTGAGCTTGCAAGGGAGAACCCTACATGTTTTAAGGTTTTGAATTAGGCAGTGTTTTAAGGTATTTTAACAATTTGAGAAGAAATGATAGGTTACCTTTATATGTGGTTGGTTGTAAGTGAGTGAAGGCTGCAACTATTGGGCTTAGCACCCAACCTGCAAGCTTCTCAGTGTCAATAACAGAAAGGCCTCCCCACATTGAGATGGTGAGCGGCTGTTCAGTGTTGTTTATCATGGCATATAGAGTCATGGATACTTTTGTAGTTTTGTATAAATGGTGGATTACATTGTTATAATAGGTTATTGTCATTGTTTACGTACCTTTGGTCAGTGATTATGATTGCACGTACATCCATCATGTTTCCTCCTGATGTTGGTACTTTCCTGACCTCTTCTATGTAAAGGACAACAGCAAGCAAATCTGTGTGACATGTTACATACGGTTAGTGACTGCTACATAAAGTGCTGTTACCAATATAGTTGATGTTGGCTAGCACTGTACTTACCAAAGCGTTCATTTTTGAAGCTTGTTTTTGGAATTGAGTTGATGGAGACATAATTTGGCAGAACTGGACCTGCAGTTGGGTCCAGTGGTTCGATGATCGTTTGTCCGCCGAATGTCATCTGGCACTCGTCTTCTCTTTTTTGGTACTTTGGATCTATTGGTTTCAGTGGAGCATTTGCGATCTCATATTCTTTCCCTAGTTGCAGGACGTCCTTGAAAGTGTCTATTTCATCACCAAAAAGAGTACCTCCAAGATGGTTACCCTGCATAGCATAGTTCAAGTGAATATATGTGCCATAAAAATCCAATCGACCTGATCATAACTAAAGTGACCCTGCTTCTTTAAGTCTTTTTATTGCATGGGAATGTAAATTATAGTGTTTAACTCTTAGATTTGTTTGCTCGGCAGTCATGACAATTCCATAAACTAATTTAATAAATGTCATGTTGAATATTTAAGTGATTTTTAGCTGTTGAAGTTTTGAGTTTTTCCTTATGTTGATTAAATCTGTGAATGAGATCTGTATTTTCCTTATGTTTTTTGGTTTTATTGCCGATAGCAGAATACAAGCAGTTGTAAATTTTATATTACTGGTTTTAGTGCCTAGTAAGAAAGTGAACAAACCTCAGTATCCTCAAATACAAGGCGTTGGTAGCGCTTCTTGATTGGTGATTGTTGGCATTCTTATATTCTGGTTGTCTGACATTGCTAAAAAAAACGTTTAAGTAGCTTGCCCTGTTTAGAATTTTGGTAATGCAAAACATGGTGAACCACAAATTCCCAAGGCTGCCAACAATTATGAGTAACATGTTAATGTATTCTGTTGAATGCCTTATGGTATTATTTGGGATTGTAACTTGCAAATTATAGGACAGGTATATTAATAGAAAAGTTACTTAAACATTAGCAAGCTGAACAAAATTCAAAAGAAATTTAGATACTAATCCCACTAAGAGTAGGAAGCCCCGTGGAAAAAAAATTTAAAATAAAAAATGAAATAAAAATGAATAAAACTATTTATCATAAACATCCAGTAAAAGATTACTGTGAAGTACTTAAAGATAGTACATAATTTTTTGTAAACGCTCATATGCTGGAATTTTGAGAGAGAGAGAGAGAGAGCAGCAGACATTTGCAGCACTGAAGAATTGTAATACTAAGAGTAGAAATGTCAAAATGAATGAACCAAATTATTAAACACCCACTATATTTTCTCTCATAATCTGCCATTACTAAGTTAAAAAGAATGTATCATCAACTCAGGAAATCAAAGTTGCAGAAAATAATAGAGTTAATCAAAGCAAAACAGCAAGATTGTAATAACAAGAGTAGGAAATGTGAAATTCTTACAGCAGAGTTGGTGGGTTTATAAATCACAGTAAATTATTATTATAAAAGAAAAGTCGCTTAGGACAAAAATTGGAGTTAAGAGTGGTAAGATTGGCAGTTTCCCCATTGTAAATTAGTGATTGGCAATTAGCAGTAAAAATTATTAGTAAGAATTATTAAATGAACTGCTTTTGATTTATACTCATAAGCAGTAAGAATTGAATCAATAACAATTAGTAGAGAACTAAAGACAATAAGCTTACAATGAAGATGGAACTCCATGGTATCGTTTGGAATGCCTAAGCTATGAACATGATATACACTCTGTGTTGACATTTCACATATATTAACAAGTTCACATGATGAATGGATGCAATCAACCAAAACTATTTTAGTAGAGTGCAGGAAAAATAGATTTAGAGATAGAAAGACCTGTTTAGTGAGATGACACTAAGGCCACCCGACCCAACTGCCAGTATTCTTTTATTTTCTTTTTTTGGGTTGTGGGCCGTGAGTTTGGGTACCGTACTTTTAAACATAGATAAATATGGAGCATATACATTAGGAGACTGATGGCGAAGTTGCAAATAAGAGTGGCATACCTTTAGTTTATGATTATCACCAATAATTAGAGGTCTTTGATTGACTCCCAAGTAAAACATAACTCACGACAGTTGGCAATACAAAGTCGTTTTGCTGCAGAGATGACATGAACTCGGTCACAGTGTTCTACTGTTAGAGCCTGTTGACATGATCATTGTCATAACAACTGTGCTGTCAGTTTCACATCTAACTCAGAATTCACATTTAGCATGCTCCAAGAACTATAGTTGCATCAGAGCAGCCATATATGGTGGGTACCATCTGCACCAAAATCTTATACTCTTGTTATGTTTAAATGATTTTGAAAGAAATAAAGGGGTAATTTTGAAGCAAGACAACATTCATATAATGTAGATATCATTCAAAGTAGAAATCTTAACAAAAGACACAGTAATTAGGAAGTAGTTGCTTGTCATTTTCAGAAGAAGAAGTAATAGATTGTTTCAAGAAACAATAACATTTTGTTAAATTTTAAGATGAACTAAGTTTATTGAAATATTCTCCTTCATTTGGTATTTTAAATTGGCTGAAATTTTGATAGGGGACATCGTGAAGATAACCAGACAGAAGTTCCTGTTTCAGTTGTTCCTGTCATAAAAGAATGGGTTTGACTTTAGCAGCTACACATTAGGTGAACGGCATACATTATAAAAAATAAATCAGGAGGTTGTAATTATACTGACCTTGAAGGAGATTGCTGTGTAACACCTGATCGTAGTAAGATCTCAAACGAAATAACAATTTTTTTGCACTGTATACATGCTGATCTTCAGTTGTAGGCTTGGTCAGTACCCTTACATGTTTAGAATTCCAGGCCCGAGCAAGGGCAACATATAATTGTCCATGAGAGAAGCAAGGTCATCTAAGGTATATCCCTACTTGAGTGAGTGTTTGTCCCTGGGCTTTGTTGATTGTCATAGCAAAACAAAGCTTGATTGGGAATTGTTTTCGCTGGAACTGGAACGGGTAATTAGTTGAGGCAGAGGGCCGCAAGTCAATGCGTGGCAGAAATACATATTCACCAGTATGATGGCCAGTTGCAATTACACACTCAATCATGTTGGGGTAGAATCTTTTGCATATGAGTCGTGTCCCATTGCATAAGCCAGAGGCTGGAGCAAGGTTCCTCAGCAGAATAACGGGGCAATTTTCCTTTAGAACCAATTCATGTGGACTCATTCCTCCGGGGCATAAAGTGTTTAGGAATTCAGTTGTGTAAATTTTGCAATTTTCATCAATTAACACATCAAAACTCTTGTAGGTTACAGCCTGACCTGGGTGTTTTTCAATTAGCAGAGTATTTATCTCATCAACATCATCGTTGAGGGGAGTCAAGATTGCACGTTCAGCGAAGATGCTTGAACTGAAACCACCTGCGGTCAGTTCCGGGAATATTTGGCTGAGAAGTTGGTCCAGAGAGTAGTTTTCATCCTCAAATGGCACAACCAGTTGTCTTGGTAGATGAATGTCAGCTATCTCTTCTGTTTGCATACGGCCGTCCCCTAAAGCAAGCAAGAAATCAGAGAATGCAGGATCTGTACGTGCTCGCATGTTTTGACTAAGGCGTATTCGTTTGAAACCATGCCATAGATAAGAAGAGACTAAGCTCGCTTATACGGCTTCTTTTTGTGATTTTTTGGGTACCACAGGCAATACTTGCCGAAGGTCCCCACCAAAGACGACAACCTTGCCTTCAAAAGCTGTACGCCTATCACATAAATCCCTAAGCAGCAAGTCTAATGACTCTACGTTTTCCTTGATTGCCATTGATGCTTCATCCCAAATAATCAAGGAGCTTTCTCGTAGAAGACCAGATAAGTTGCTTTGTTTAGATACATTGCAAGACATGGAAGCTGTATGATCAAGGGGGATTTTAAAACGTGAATGGGTTGTCCTCCTAGTCACTATGTTTGAGGCAGCAATTCCGGACGTAGCTGTTGGAAGAACTATTTTGCCCATTTTTCTAACAGCAGCATACAATGCACAGTAAAGGTATGTCTTGCCAGTGCCTCCCGGACAGTCAACGAAAAATGAACCAGGTTTGTTAAGCTGCACATGTTTAATGATGCAATCAAAGGCATCGCGTTGGGCAAGGTTGAGCTTGTCAATGGCTTCAATGTATTCAACCGGTATTGTGGCATTGAGTGCATCAGCAATATCCTTTGTTTGTCGTAGTCCGGAGTCTGCATTGCTTATCAACACCCCTAGGCCAAATTCTTCCAAAGTTTTCCCCATTTCTTCTAAGAAACGCTCAACCCCTTGCACAGTAAGGGCCTTCACTTTGTCTTTCATTCCTGGATTTTGGTGTTTGATATCTTCGGACAAATGAATGTAGTACTTCTGCCAAAGGGCTAGGGGATCTCTTGGCATTCCGAAAATCACTACTGTAGCAAATAATTTACGCAAAGCTGTTGGCATATGTGCAGTAACAGCCTCTGCCATACATTTATCAACGGCGTCATCTTCTGCCAGGAGGCCAAGTTTCAAGGCCGCTTCCTTAAATGTTACACAAAGGTGGGCGTTGACTGTTCGTAAATCTTCAAATGATTTTGGTCCCCTTACATTGATTAGTAGCAGCCTGAGAAAATATCTTTCCCCTTCGGATGGAGCCACAAAAGTCAGACGCCCTATTGCAGTTCGCACATTAGCCCGCTTAGACCATGTTTTTGTAGCATGATTCCACACATAATGCTCACAAAATTCTGCATATGTGTATTTTGGTATGTTTGGGACAGTGTTGTTCATTCTAAAGAACTTGGTTCATGAAGTACGGGCTCGGCGCCTATCTGAAACAACAGAGGCTAGTTGTTCATTGGGAGAGAACCTCACACTGTGCTGATTAGGCAGATGAATTTGCAATGTTACTACTGGTGGGCTCATTTCAAACAGGTCAAACCCAAAGATTCTCCATGCGGCTTCACAAGGGGATACCCAATGGCCTGCTTGGAACTGCTCAATCTCATTTACAGAGCCTGATGAAGCTTGTACGTTATATGATACCCGATCATATCCTTTATAAACGTATTTGTAAAGGTACTTAACTGCTTGAATTGTTAAACATACCTCCACATTCAAGTGACAGTCGAATAAGGCAGATAGATAAGGGTTATATGGAACGACCCAACGGTTGTCCAACCTTTTCCTTCGAATCACAATAGACTCCCCTGTGTCCCGGCGTCTGTATTCAGGATACCCACTTTCATGGCTTGTTGTAATATCAGAAAAGACTTAGGGTAGTCGTATTTGCACTTCCCGTCCATTCCTCTATGATTCATGCATGGGCATTCAGGGTTATCCTTCCCACATGGGCCATGTATCATATGGTTTAAGACCACTTTTCGTAAGTGTGGGTTTTCATGGGAAGGAATTTCAGCGGACACGTACTTGTCAAATGAGTCTGGATGCTTTATCCTAAATTCCGGCTTTAAAATAATGAGCATATGAACATGTGGCAAGCCACGTTTTTGGAACTCAACTACATAAATGAACGCAGCCACCTCTCCAAACACTTGTTCTTTTTTTTTTCCAGTGCTATAAGCTTTGCTCTGAAAACACGAGCTACAAGATCGGGTCGGTTTTATGCTTTTTCCCCGTGTGCCAGCTCTGCTTTGATTTCTGGCCAATTTGGGTTGCAGGTCATTGTTATGAATAAGTCCGGTTTCCCAAAACGTTGTACAAGAGCGATAGCATTGAGATAACGTCGTTGCATATCACAAGGCCCCCCTTAAAAGGAAGGAGGGAGGATAACACACTGACCTACATTCGATGCATTTGCTTCACCGCCTTCAAGTGTATCTACTAAACCCTGATATAGCTCAACTCTAATTTGTGCCTGATTTTGTCTAAAGAAATCTAGCCGAGTATTCTCTATCTTCACATACATGTCTACAATATATTGCAAGAACAGCCGCCCAGCCAGTAGGATGAAATTTCCAGCACGCATTTGAAACTTGTATGCATAATACTCCCTGCAAGAAATAAGCTTGCCCTTCTTCCCCCGAGCAGCAGCTGCAATTCCATTTGTTTTTATAAAAGTAGTTACATTTACATGATTAATACGGGAATGACATAAATGAAATAACATGTTTTTGGTGTAAGTAGCCACAATTAGTTGTCTTACCATAACCTTCTTCAGTTACCAAATCAGCTGCCTCTTGAACATTGTCTGAAATGACAATATTTGAAAGGTCTTCCACCTGGGACCGTCCTCCGTGAGACATTTTTAGTAAACCGTGATGCCACCCACAGTCACCTCGAGGAAATAGAAGCGGGTATTGTAGAGGATCGTAACAGCCATAATAATGATATATCCTATGGCTCTTGTTTGATTTCCCATGAACAATGATATGTGGGCTGTTGCTTTGGCTAGATGAAGTACCTTCACTCCATATCACAGCTACTTCTTCGGATGTCGGAGCATTGTAAACACGTTGATCAAGAACGGGGTGTTTATTGAGCCTGATTTCAGTCTCTTCAGTGACTTCAGTCTCCCGAAGAGACTTGAAAAACCTGGCATATGAATTCAAAAGCATAATAGCCATAATCAAGGAAATTATACTCGGACGTAAGTTTGGAAAAAGACGATGTCTATTTTCTGCCTCAAACATAGCATCGTAGAAGTAAAGCTGTAAATATTGTGGTGGTTCATTATCAGGCAAGAGGTCAGGAATATTATGATAAATTTGGCCATGAACCTTCAAAGCATATATTCCTTTATGAATATCCCCATCCATTGATCCACCAATTGAGCTAAAAGCAAAGAGGTTATTGTAAAGGCGAGAATATGTCTGAAAATGATCCGAATCATCGTCATTAGAAGTATAAAGTTTATCTAATTCAGGGGGTAAAGCATTAGAAGCAATTTCAACTTCACCATCACAGCAACAAAAATGCAATGACTCAAAGGCTAGTTTTTTTGCACGACACTTATCGCAAAAATGAGGGGCAGGCAACTCCATGGGCTTAGTAGGCAGCGATTGGCTGAATTTATTGCAGCACCAACTATAAGCAGTTTTAAATAAACATTCAGTCGAGACAATTCTTTAAAAACTCAGAGAAATGCATAGCTTATTATTTGGAGACATTCACCTGTCTTTGATTGCTTTTGGCGTTTAGGTTTTGGAATCCCTAAAATCGCCCGTTGTCGAGCACTCATTCTTGTCTTTGATGTTGTAGGATATTCTGGGAAATCTGCTACAATATGAAACACCCTTATTTAAATAATGTGAAGTTTCTCGGTTTTTAAAAAATGGGAATTCATGGGGTAAAAGAAACATTGTGCTAACCCATCACATATAAAAGTGAAAATTTCAGTTGTTGGACAAGTAAAATGAGAATCAATTCGAGAACCTGCTGCTTGTAAATAGCTCTGATTTGTACTCCTGCTTTCTTGCTTTCTTTTAACCTTTGATTATTCCCTTGAATCCCTACTTGCTTTCTTCCACCTTTCATCGTAGTTATTTTGTACCATAATCCTGCATCAACAACCTTTTGGTTCTTCAGTAGGCAGTAACTAATGTTGTCATGGACTTATTCTATTTCTCATTTAATTACTTATTAATTGAGTAGACCTTTCAAATTCATCCATTTAACTGAGTCACCAATTAGAGATAGAAGTTAAAATTAATAGTAACTGAGAAATTGTAGATATAAATTATCTTCTTTGATAGAAAAGAATAGTACATATTGTAACGCTCTTGTCCAGAAGTCTAAGATACTAAACAAAACTCAAATTCTGCAGTGACGAAACACGTTTATATTGAGTGGAAATTCAAGCATAAGAAAAGGCATAAGAGCCACACCGCCAACATTGCATAAGCAAGAATCAATGAAAAGAGCCAAACCTGGTAAACGACAAGGCTAGAGTTGATTCCAGCACCATTGACGTCTCTAACCTGGACATACAACCTCCTTACAGAAGGCACCATTCCCTTTGGGCATACAGCAATCACAATGGGCATACAGCAATCACACTTGATCTAATTAATCTCACATACAACACTTTTTAATTTTAAGTGGCTTTTATATAGCATTTGTTATTAAGAATTACTGCTACAATGAAATTTAAATATCACTAAAACTGACCTTCCATGATTACCGTTCAGCAAACTAATGGCGAACAATTGAACACTAATACCCTTATTTGCCACTCTATGTACCAGCATATTGATGCAATAAGAGTTAAGTTAATTCATTTGTCAGCTTAAAAGTGATTCTTTATAAGAAAAAACAAAACAAAACAAAAAAACTACAATAATTCATCAAACCTCATTAGCTTAAAAAAGGGATCCGGTAACATATCAATTCTATATAAAGAATAAATGAAGTACTTTTGGTAATTAAGCTCAATATTTAAGGCCATGTTGGGAAATTCATTTTAATTCATCAAGGGAAAATAGAACAATTAAGAGTAGATGTATTGAAAGTTTGAAATCATATACCAAATGGTGTACTTTTACACATAAAAATTGAACAAAAGACTCACACTAATTCACAAACATGCCATTGATTTACACGAATATGAACTACATATCAATTTTACTTTATGAATTTCCCAGCTAGAAAAATCAATAATTTAATCAATGTATTTATACTATTACAAATATAGCCATCAAATAAACAACAATCATAACCCTTTTTGCCTATCCAAATTTTATTCACAACCTTCAAATTTATAGTCACAAATTTCAACAGTTGAAAATGAACAATAGCCCAGACCTGATTGGTGGCAAATTTATTAGGAGCAAAAATCAATACTCTGTACTAAACTATGCGACTAAAAAACCAGACTCAATTATTTATCAACTAAGTACTCTAAATCAATACTGAACTATCAAAAGAAGAACACACTCTATCTCTGATTGGTGGGAAAATTGTGAGTATAAATCAATACTAAACCAATTGTTGGCCACATTTCAGAGCTAATATTTTGTACAAACCTTGTATTTTTGCACTGTATAGAGAGGAGAGAGAAAGAGGCACCAGTGACCCACCTCCCATAAAGTCCGGTCGTCATCTTCCGCCGCCGCCCCCTCGACAGGCAGCTGTGCTGTCGTACCACCTTCCTCACCGTGGTCGTCACCAACCGATGGACCACGACATGCTCCTTCGATGTCATCTCTTGTATCATTTTTTCTCAATTGGAAATGTACATTCAGAATTTAAAAATTCAGCACTTCAATGGAGAATTGTAAATTTAGAGTTTTCTTGTAAATTTAGAACTTTCTCCATTGAAGTGATGAATTTTGCAAATCTGAATTCACTTCTCTTCGGCAATTTTGAGAGATGAAGACACATGGAGAGGAGAGAGAAAGCTGAAGGCAGAAGGTGTTAATTATTGTGGGGGTAATAAGGTAAATAAACAATTTTGAGGGTATAAAGGTCCGACCACTGTTCATAAGAACAACTTCCCACTTTTTATAAGGTAGGGATACGGAGGGAGTATTTTCATCCCTATAAATGTTCACTTATGTATTACGGAGTATTAAATGTTAATTTCTTTAGAATGATTATTTAATGTTTAATTATGCTAATACGACATAAAATGTTCAAATAATTATTATTTGTATTTGTGTTTCCAAATGACTTTTTATAGTAGTACTCGAGGAAAAAAGAAAAGGTTCATTTCCTTCTTAATAAAATCAAATGAAATTGTATACCACCAAAAATTAAACAAATAGATATTAAATTAATGCACAATACAATTCCACATATATTAATCACACAATAAACTTCTCAATCCAAATCCAAAAATTCAGCTTGTGATATTGGTTCATGTTGCTTGGAGACTCCATGTCTTCTTGGTTTCCTTCTTTATGTCATATTTCTTTTTTCCTTGCTATTGTGCGGTCTAACTCACTATATGCACGGTTCTTTATTAACTCTAATTAAAAAAAAATGTATTAGATTTGAGCAAGAATAGATAGATGTTGAAAATGAACCAATAATTTTCATATGAATATAAACATGGATGAGTGAAAAAATGATATGATGGATATGAAAATTAACATCTATTTAGGGGCGGACCTTTGTTGAGACGGGTCGGGGTCTGGCCCCCCTTAATTTTTCTAAGCTATTGGTTTTAAGTAATATAATGTCTAATAATTACACTTAAAAAGCTAGTGGTTAAATATTGTTATTTTGGAGCAAAAGGTTGGAGGATCAAAGGGAGTTTTATGTTTTTGGATCGATAATTAAAAAAAAAAAAAAAAAAAAAAGTCAAGTTAGTAAAAACACACAAAAGATCAAAGGGAGTTTTATGTTTTTGGATATTACTCCCCCCGTTTTTAAATACTTACTACACTTTTCTCTTCCGACCGTTTTTAAATACTTGCTCCATTTTTTATTTAGAAATCTTATACAATATTTAATGCAATTCTTTCACCTAGTGGACCCAACATAAATCATATTTTTTTAATTTCATATTCTCTCTCCTCCAATTCTCCCAATTACTTTTGCTTTTTACAATTTTCTATTCTTCCCCTTACCCCACTACCTCCGTATATTTCACTCCGTATTATTTTATCCAATCTCCAATTTCTCCTAAAACCCCATGCATGGAGAAATGGAGCAAGTAATTAAAAATGGAGGGAGTAAATTTTGTACAAATTCATGTAGTTGATAAAAATACTAATTTTAAAATCTTAAGGCTTAGCTTGTTTGACATATTTGTTTTGTTTTTAGTTGTTTTTTTTTCTTTTAAAACAAAAAACAGAATACTTTTATTAAAAACAGCAAGTAATTAAAAACTGAATACAAGAAAAAAAAAATGGTGCTTTTCATTTTTCTGTAGTCATTTTTTTAAAAATCATAATTTTAATTAGTTTAGCTAATTATTTATTTTTCATATGACATATATGATATGTTTTTGAAAAACAAAATACAAAAAAAAAAGAAAAAAAAAAGAAACCATAGTAATTCCAAACAAACCCTTAAATAAGTAATATTCTTATCTTTTTTTTTTACATAATTTTAGGAAATTTTGACTTTTACCACCTCCAGAAACCACTTATTGGCTTTTACCACCTACATAAAAAAAGTTTTGTATTATCACCACATAAGAAATAAAAGTCGGCTTTTACCACAAATCATCTCCAACTAATGGATAACGTCCATAAATTCATTAGTAGGTCCTACCATGTACACGTGTCACCATATTATAGGGTAATTTTTTTTAAAAATAATTAAATTAAATTTTAAAATGAATAAAAACCCAACCAGCTCCCAGCCACTGCCGGACTAGCTGCCAGCCCCACCACCAACTCGCCACACAATAACCACCGCATAGCCACAACCATCGCACCGCACAACGCACTAGCCACAGGCCCACAACTACGGATTTCAACCCCCTCCCCCACCCCAAACGGATTTTGACCCCCTTTTCACCAATTTCTGACCTCAAAACCCTAGCCATAGGATTTCGACCCCCTTTTTACCAATTTTCAACCTCAAAACCCTAGCCACCGAATTTCAACCACCCATAAAGCCCCATCGAACCGAATTCTTACCACTCCTAAAACCGTAGCCCGACCAAATTTCGCACTTCTGAAACCCTTGTCACCACCTAATTTTGATCCCCTCCTTACCCAACACCAAATTTCGACCCCACCCTAACCCCACACGAAATTCGTTGCTAGCTAGTTGACATGGAAGTGAAGGAATTGTGTCTTCGATAAGTGCAATTACTAGATATATCAAGGATCACTATTATGGAGATAATAAGTTCGTTCTTTTGGGTCGTCATTATCTGTTGCTAGACTATGATCAATGATCTTTGGACTAGTCAAATAGTCCAAAGACTACTAGAATGGATCCTATGAGGTCACACAACAAGGGTATTGGGTTAAGCAAGTAAGAGGCCTATTAATGGGCCTCATGAGCAACTAACTAATCATGAAATGGATTGGGCTAGCATAGTTAGATTAGGTTTTGGGCTTTTGACACGGGCTCTTATTTAGAGATGAGATCTATAAATAAGATCCATGCCTAGGGTTGCTTGCAAGTAGTCATAATTCACACACAGTGTATTTTGACATCAAGGCAACCAATCCCAAAGACCCTAATTCCTTTATTTAACTCACGACTTTCTCTCTCCTCCCCTCGTCCGTACGGTCGGCCACCTTGGTGGTGCGTGTGGTGGTTCGTGGTGGTTCATGGTGGTTCGTTGCTCGCACTTCTCCATAGAAGGTCAATTGAAGGGTTCAATTGCAACTAACTAGCATAAGTGGAGGTCTTAATCTGTGCCCGTGGACCAAGTAGAGGAATCACGCTTGAGGTTCTTTATCTCCCAATGTTCTTGCTCGATCGCACGTGGAATCACGCTTTAAAGGTACGATTATATGTTCTTTATGTGTTATGCATTAGATCTTGGGATTAGGTATTGTATGAATATGATTCATGTTTATTTCCGCTGCGTAGTACCTATAATTCCCTACAGGAAGATCGGGGGAGATGAAGAGAAAACGTCATAAAGGTGGGGCCCTACTAACGGATTCATGGACATAATACGTTAGTTGGTCGTAAAATCCAATTTTTTAAAATTTTGTTGGTGGTAAAATAAAACTTTTTTTTATTATTTTTTTATTTATTTTTTATTTATTTTTTTTTTTTATGTATGTGGTAAAAGCAAATAAGTGTTTTTTGGAGGTGGTATAAGTCAAAATTTCTAATATTTATTTAAATATTGAGAATGAATTAGATGGTAAATATTACTCCCATTTTCTTGTCTTATTTAAGTGTCTCAGTTTGACTGACATATATATATATGCCAACGCATAATTTTGATTAATGATATGTGTAATTATACATAATTAAGTATAGATTATATATATATATAAAATTGGTATTTGGAAAACTATGTTTTGAGACGATTCTAACAGGTATTCATTGATCCTATTATATTACATATAGAGCACAAACATTAGTGAAAGCGGTGCATATGAGTATTATCTAAGTCAAAATAAGACACTTAAATAGAACAAAGGCAGTAGGTTACAATCACACGTCGTGGAGTAGCTAAGTAATAAAATCAAGTGACAAATCCAGGGATACATATAGTATAGTTGTACCCCCATTCCATTAAAAAAAATACTACATAATAACTAATGATAAAGAGACCTCCTAATCTCCTATGGACTCCAATCAGTCTCTTAGGTACTGTTAGGTTAACAAAATCAATTCAGTAGCCTAGTTTTCCTATTATTTCTGGTTAATATCAAAGAGTTGGCTATTGAAAAAACTACTCTTAGGACCTGTTTTATTCAGCTTAATTTCATTTTCGTGCACTTCAATTCAATTCCTAATTTCCTCTCTCATAAACAATTCAGTTCAGTTGTTTTCGGTAAATCATATCAGAACAAGCCCTTAGATGTCATTCACATAGTTCATATGTTTTCTGACGTTAAATCAGCTATTTTCGACAAAAGATACCGTTGTTATAAAAGCAGGTCTCTTAATTATTATTTTTTCACACAAATATATTCCGTTTCTCATTTATAGACCTAGTCACCGAATTAAAGGATAGGTTTTATCGTACATGCAATTCAAAGATTAATACAATTGTGAGATGAATTAATAACTCTATCAAATTTTAATTGGCAAAAAAAAAAAAAATACTCCATATATTATTCTTTGTTTTTTTTTTTAATTATGTTTAATTACTAAATTTCTAAATCCGCCAATGTTAATATCCCCTTTCATGTGATATACTATCACATCCATCCCTTTCATAAGGATCTATGATATCTATGGAATGACAAAAACATGCACATCAGCCGACAAATAGTGTAAAATTCAACTAAAGAGATGGATGGGGCATGTCTTCCATATTATATCAATTTGTCGGTCACTAATTTGCCCCATTAAGAAGACTAATGGCCATTAAGCACTAAGCGAAACCATAACTTCAATAAAATAAATAACATAATTAAAACAAATTAAAAAAAGAGATAGGAGTAAAAGTGGACCGTCAATTTGCTTTAAACTAAATTTCATAATAAGTCATGATTAAATATTTTATACATGTACAATATGGTTAATAATATCTTAGTGCTATGAATATGTAAAGGACTAAGGTAACAAAAAAAGGAAACAACTAGGTCCAAAAACCTAAGAATTAAATTACAACCGTACCACTCAATTTCCATTATATTTTATATTAATTACTACGTATATTATTATATCTCTAAATTCCCACCAGCAATAAAAGAGAGAATATAATAACCCAAAAAAAAAAGTACTAAATTTAATCAAGGGCATGTATGCATCAACATGACCAAAGTGACTCTTCCATGTTAGGTTGATCCACAACCATGTCCATAAAAAGGGACTTGGCTTGTGAAGATACTATCTTAGATGAAGGGGAGTTTTCAGGTGAGGAAGTGCCTTGATGATGATCAACTCTAGGTTTATCGGAGTATTGGCGCATGCGCATATGTACCACCTCCGCTTGTGCTAGGGCTAATTGGGCTTGGAGGACGTCAATTTGTTGTTGGAGTGATGAAATTGCTCCTACACACCCGTAAACTGGATCACGTACCCTTGCATTAGCCTCATACACCATTGAACTCACTGCATCTCCACGTTGGTGCATTGGCAACTCCTACAACATATCCATTTAAACATATCATCTTGATTTATGTATCATCAAAGTGTCAGTAATCCGCACAAAATGTTGTAAATTTCAAAAACTATGTAATAAAAAGTGTCTAAACAATATAATGAAAAACAATATAAGATGCCCATTTAGGAAGAGCAATGATAGACATTATTAAGCACTAAGCAAATATACAAAAATAATTATAAGAGGAAATAGAAGTGAAAAGTGGACCGTCAAGTTTACTTTAATTATACTACATTACATAATAAGTAGTCATGATTATATATGTTTGTACATGTACAATAAGGTTAATAATCCTTCTCACCATCATCATCATCACCTCTATGATCTAGATCAAGTAGAGAGTGAGATAGAGATGTGCTAACTTGCTTTAAAAATGTAAAGGACTAAGGAAACATAAAAAGAACAACTAGGTCCCTTCTCAATCCACAATTAATTTTGCTAAGGACAACAATATTACATCATATATTAGCTAGCTTAGGTTGATCTAATAATACCATGTCCATGCTAAAAAGGGAAGTGGCGCATTCTTAGATGCACCACCTCTGCTTGAGCTACGGCTAATTGGGTTTGGAGTACGTCGATTTGTTGTTGGAGTGATGATATCGCTCCTACACACCCATAAACCGGGTCACGTATCCTTGCATTTGCCTCATATACCATTGAACTTACTGCATCACCGCGTTGGTGAAATGGCAACTCCTACACCAACTCAAATATTTCATTAGGTTTCTTTCTTTTCATTAATAAAATTATTGTTTTGTTTCTCTAATATGGTCCTTAGTTTTGTTTTGTGAAGCTTAAGTTAGTAAAGATAAACAGAATAGAACAAAAAAATTGATGCATTCAACTTTGTTTTTTTACTTTTAATTATTGCTCAAAACAGAAAAATCAAGCAACAAACATGACATAAATGTGAACAACTGCACTTTATGAGCTCAAAGATTGTTATGTTTGTGTTTCATTATGTCTAGTGTGAAAATTTTAATTCATGTTTGTTGAGGTTGTTGAAACTAAAGGCTTAATTATGAATTAATTTCAAGGAATCCAAGGAAACATAAATGAACATTGGTGGTTCAACCAAAATGATGTTGCTTAAATTTCTTTTTGACATTTACATATTCATGTTCTAAGACTATAGAAATTAGAACATAACTATGGATTGAATAAAGTCATTGACTAGTTGTCTAGGCTAAAGCTAGCTGATTCTTCACCATTTGTCTTGTAATCCTGTTGTACAAGGGCACTACATGGTCAAGTGTTGTAGATCATAGCCAGAAAGTCTACCAAAACCAAACTCTCCGCCTTTTTGTTTGTTGGTTTTATTTTTTTTTAAGTAAATCATTTGTTTTGCAAACATTTTTAATAGAGTATAAAACATATTTATGGGCCTCAACCATCTATGATAGAGTATAAAACATATTTCTAGACCTCAACCATTAACTTAAGCTTTTGGGAGTTGGTCCATTAACATAGTATTAGAGCCAACTCTGACATAAAGGTCACGGGTTCGAATTTCATCCCATGTATAGGCGGGCCCTCCCAAAGAGCCTTTTATGAGAGGGAGAGTGATAGAGTATAAAACGTATACTTGAGCCTCAACCAGCATCAGCTTAAACTTTTGGTGTATTAACAATTTTTTATTTTTTATTTTTAAATGCATCACATCTTTGTAGACATCTTCATCTTCTCTTAATTTTTATTATATTTTTCTCTTCTCGTCCGTTACTTTTTTAAGCGAGTCACTTTGTTTTGCAGACATTTTTTTAAAAAAACTGTATCACATCGGTTATTATTTTATTTTTTTTTTCTAAAGTAGACCAATCAATGGGCCTTTAAACTTAAGTAAACACAAGTGCATCACCTAATATGATGATTTTTCAAAGCATTTTGACATCATCTTGACGTAAATCATTAGTAAATTTTACCAAAAGAAAAAAATGAAGAACTACATGATATGATATGCCATTATACATATTATTATCTTATCAAATCAGTAATATTTATGTTGTGCATGCTTTACAAATCTCTTAATTAAGAAGCGTAGGATATACTCATTATAATTTTAAAATAAAAAAGGCTATGGAATGTGCACGAAAAGGCTTCTTAGTGGTCAAAAAGTTGCTGCGTGCTTTGCATAACTTTATTTAATTTTAATTATTCCAATTATTAGTATTTCAATTTTTTTAAAAAAAAGTTAATCATATTTCTTTTGAATTTAACATTCCACTACTTCAAGCAACTAACTCTTTTTATAAGGTTTTCGTAACTTCTTGTTGAATAAAACTATAGTTCATAGAGTGAAACTGATATAAATCAATGTATTGACAAATCTAAGAAGCCATTGTTTATTCAACTTATTTTTATTTCGGAAAAATAATTTTAGTTCAGATCAGATTAAATCAGAAAAAATAAGTTCAGATTATATCATCGTTTTATTAGCAGTTTTATATCGTTAAGGTCATGTTCTGTTCACCTTATTTCCACTTATTTCAGGGTTGATAAGTTTGGATAATTTCAGATAAGGGTTAATAACTTCAAATAAGATAAGTTTAGGAAAATAAGTTAGATAAGTTGTGATAAGGGTTAACCAGGGCTACCCAAGTTTAATTTATATCTTTAATTTCATGATGAATAATATTATGAAAATTACATATTAATAAAATACACATTATTTTGAATGTAACAAGACCCCACTTGATACATTTTTTCCTAATGGATTACCGTACACTTAATTTCAAAGTCTGGTCAAATCAAATAATCAGATCAGATAAGTTCAGGTTAGATCATATCAGACCAGATCCGATAAATTCAAATAAGTAAAAGTACAGCTCGTCTTGTGTGCGGCCGGCCACACCGTGTGACCACTTAAAGTAACCCCTATAACATTGATTAAGTAGCCCCTGTAATATCAATCAAGTAACCCCTATAACAGTGACCGAGTAACTCTATAACAATGATGAAGTAACCCTTTTAACACTGATCAAGTAACCCCCATTACACTAGCAAAGTAACCCCAGTAGTGGTTGGCCACACGGTGTGGCCAGCCACATATAAGACTTTGTGATGAACTAAAGAAGCCTAACCTAAGAACATTAAAATCTTACAAAAGTACTCTGATTGGCATGAATTTTCCGGTCAATATGGATGTATTTTATAAATGTGATTTTAATGGCCGATATATATATATATATATATATATATATATATATATATAATTACATTATACTAAAGGCGAATCTGATATGACACTTGTCAAGTTTTGATTAAAAAAATTCCCGCCACTTTTACTTTCCTTTTTTTAACAAATATTTATGAACATTATTTTATAATATCCTGTAATATTTAACTTTCAATTTGACAACTATATATAAAGTATATTCTATATGCATTCAATAAAAATATTTTGACATATAATATTTTATAATAGGTATTTTATGGAAAAGAAAATCAAGTATTTGTTTCAATTAAAAATATTGATTTTTATTTTAATTAATTATTAATTATTGTTAAATTAACATTATAATTTATAAATATGCTAAGTATAAATATATATGAATATATATGAACTAGAAATGATGTAAAATTTGATTGTGTTGCATATAAAAAGCAAATTAATTAAAGGAGTTAATAGCGTAGTCACATTGTATAAAAATTACAATATACCCCTCTTTCAATGTTTAATCTTTACATTAAATTTTGAAAGAAATCTTTACATTTTAATAATCCGTATTTATTTCAAAAAAAAAAAAAAAAAATCCGTATCTTTTTGTAAGAAAAAAAAAAAAAAAAAAGTTAAGGCTCTTGTTAATGATTAAAAAAGTACTGATGGAAAAAGTAATAAATTAAAAGGGGTAGAGGCCATAGTGAAAAGTGACAATAATGCCTTGTGAGCAAAATGGACTAAGGAAACATATGATATCAAATCAAATCAAATTAGTAGTGGTAAGGTCAAATAAATTATTGTTAATTGGTACTATTGTATATCAAATCAAATAAATTTATACTAAAGGGTTGGTAAAAAAAAAATTTATTTTTTCCAATTCTTTAGTTGACATTTTTTATTTTTACACTATTTACAAATAATACTTTGACTAAATTTTTTTATTTATACAAATATTAAACATATAAAATCTTATTTGAATCTTCTAAATATAAATTTTATTTATGTTACGGTAATTGTTTTTTATAATTTTATAATACCGATAAGATATTAATGTTAAAATTAAACATAGATGTCAATTTAAAATATACAGTAGTTTAGGTAATACTCGCATATTAATTGGTAAAAGGGTAAGGTAAAGTGGTCTTTAAAAAAAAGTAAAGTGGGTCCCCAGACCGTTATTAACCGCTACAACTGATTAAGGTCAAAAGCTATGGGGGGACAACCAACTTTTGCACCGCATGAGGAGTTTCTTTACATGAGAATTTGAGATAACTAACCTTAATACATGTACAAATTGAAATGCATATGCAATTTGGCTTATATGTCATAAGTCAAAACAAAAAATAAATGGGATAATATGTTAAAATAGTAACATGATTAAATGTATTATATCGCCTAATGTGATTTATATGATTGTAATAAAGTTTTGTCTTTCGAATAAACTAGAGTACATATAGGAATCATACTATGATGTAAATTATTTTTCATAGGAATCATACTATGATGTAAATTACTTTTTTTTTTTTTTTTGAAATAATGTAAATTATTCTCATCTAGTCAGTCTGATGTAATTGAAATTCTAAAGTTCTAATATGATCTTATCTAAATACTCGTGTGTTGAAAAAGGGTACGAAACAAAATTTAAATGCACAACAATCATAGTTCAATAATCCTTCGATCCTAATACCAAATACTCTATCAAAAAAAATGTATCATATACATTCTCGCCAAAAAGTAGTTAGTTGGCACATCATTTCAACATTTAATAATACTCCATAGTCCATAATACTAGTTTATGTTTTGGACAATATTTCGGGTCATTTTTTTCATTTTTTTTTTCATTTGTATATGAGACAATATTTGAACTTATGATGTGATTATAATAAATTTTCTTAATATATTTTATTTACAATATTATACATATCTACTTTATTACAAACTTTTTTAATACCAGCTTACCCCTCTCGCCACACATCAATATGAGTACATTATTTTACTTCTTGTTTTTTAATTAATCAACTTTTTTTCTCTAACCTTAATCCCTACCTTTTTTTTGGTATTATTTCTCTAAATTTAACCATTTTTTTTTACACCCACCTACTTTGTAAGCACTCGCACATAATTCTAAAGCATATAGTAACCTTAAGTTAGGAACATTATACAAGGGATGTAATTAGTAATATCACCATTATGTAATAATTTGTTGAACTTTTTTTTTATTTTTTTTATTTATTTTTTTTATTTCAACGATCAATTTTACTTGAACGACCATGCCTATAGGAGTATAGGGTGGTAAAATATTCCTTTCACAAGTTGACAACCACCAAACTTTAGCTCTAACATTAATGCTTACCAACAACAAAAAAATTTAGAATACCATAAATAATTACTTATTATAACTCTAAGCACAATGATGAGAAAAAACAATTTGTAATGGAAATTAAATCATGTTGATCCATGATCATTCATTTAGTTAGAGCTTTCCTCCTAGTTTCAGGAGATCATAGGATCGATTCTCATCACATACCCTCACTAAACACTAAATAAAAAGAAAAGAAAACTAAATTGGCGTACCTGTAGCATCTTGTTGACGTTACTAGCACCAAAAACTCTATGCACATTAGCAAATTTCTGAGGCTCGTCAGCAGGGAAGTAGGGCGCAAACACACAATCTGGCGCACACCTTCTTCGTAGCAACTTGCACGCTGCACAAGGGGACACCGCCCCTTGTTTCCTTCCATTTTCCTTCATTTTTTTTTCGACGTGTACAACCTCTTCGATTTTGTAATATGTTGTTGGATTAATCCGTAGCAACTCAATTATCTCTAGTCTAAACAAAACGTTGTGTCAAATAAATATATGTAGTGAACCAACAACTCTCTTGATTTTTATGTACCATATAACATATGCTACTTTAGATTTTGTAATAATAAAAATAAGTATGGACAAGAGTAAAGTGCAAGTTATTATATATGAAAGTTAGAAAAGTATGTAAGACAAGTGTATAAATTTGTTTGTTAGGAAGAGGAAAGGGGGGCTAAGAAGTGAAAAATGGTGGATGTTATATAGAAAAATTTTGTAGTGACAAGAGTATCTTAATGGGCCCAACCTATGAAGAAATCTAGATTTTGGTGGGCCTTAACATCGTTTTCGGATTGGATTTTTAGACCCACCCTTTTATTATTACATGTTGGGTCATGCTTTCATTTGTTCCTTCTTTGCCTGTCATACTCAACATTTTTTCATTCTTTTTAATTTTGTTATTAAGGAAATATACATACATAATGATATGAGTACATAAATAATGTTTTATTTATTAATTACTAATGTAAAAAAAAAGGTTTTTTTTTTAATCAAAATATATTAATTTTTAGTGAATATAATATTTATAAAAAGGTTGAGATTCTCACAAGTTTTTGAGTCGAGTTATGAACTACTCGACTCGGCTGATTAGCTTTCGAGTCAAGCTCACTCAAGTCGAGTTTTGACCGACAGCTCACGAGTTGTCTCGTCTCATAAACACCAGTATTCTTCATGATTTACTTTTCTATGTCTACCTAAGTGTACCCAAGGTACACGGTGCATTCAAGGTATTCTGAGCTTATATTTGATTGGTCCTAGCATTGAACAAGCAGCTAATAAATAATACATGATTCAACTGTCAAGAATAGTGGTAATTGACTAATTGGTGCCTCCTTTTTCCTCAAAATTACTCTTTCTACTGATTTCTCAGCTCTCTAGCATACTTCTTTGTAATATGAGGCTTTTATGTTACATTTTTATCAACTCTTGAATTTTGCATAATCGTATTCAACTATTGTAGAAAGCATAGATAGACTTAATATGACACTTTGAAAGGAGGGGCTGATGAGATTCAAACCCATGACCTTTGTGTTGCGTTGAATTCAGTACTACCATACTAAAGGACCAACTCAACGAAAAGCTTAAGTTCATGTTTGGTGTGAGTCGATTTTAAGTTTGGACGTGGAAATTAGACTTTTTTTTTGCATTTGAATGCATGTTATTCGTTGCTTTTAAAGTCCATGTTCATAAGTTTTAACTGTGACATACTTTTAAAGTTCATTTTCTTTTTTTTTTTTTTTTTTTTTTTGAAACAAAGTTCATTTTCATTTGTTATAGCCTTATATCATTTGAATTTGGCCGGAGGAAGCAAATAATCATTTGAATTACATGATAATACTATGTCTAATAATTTATTAAAAAAAAAACATTTACAGTTTAAATTGAAAAATGAACTATTTTGAAATTACATACAGAGAATATTTGGCATGGAAGAAGGCCAATTGAGCAAAGGCTAGCTAAAAAAGATTTTCGAAAGCAGAAAAAAAAATTATATGCTTTCTTCTATATCTTAATCAGCTAACAAAAACGAAGCAGGGGAATTAGATTAAAATGCTTTCATATTTTCATTGGCAATAATAGATGGACCTTCTACTTTCACATGATAAGAGTCTAAACCATTGATATTATCAAGACCTTGCCATTTGTTACTATGATCATTTATAGGCATTTGTCCAAGCATATGTGTTCGATTTGTTGTGTATACCTCTTGCTCGGGGCTTTGGCTGTTTGATTCAAACGCGTATGGTGAAATATTTCCAAGGGGTGAGTCCATTGCCTGAAGAGGGTAACTCATATTTGCTTCGTTTGTACAAAATTGTGGCATTATTCTTGGTTTAGATGACTCGAATGGAAGAAAACTGCCTCTATCAATTGGAAAATGTTGTTGTAATTTTGGTTGCTGAGCCATGTTATTGTACATGTTTGGTTCGATTTGTTCTGTTTGGTGTGAGTCTAGTGCTGGAGAAGGGCGGGATATGTTCATCTCAAAGGGTTGTAAACAGGACGATATTTTTGAGTTATGTGAGTCGATTTGATGAGGGCTCATGAGCATGTTTGAGTCGAATGGACAGGATGATTGCTGCTGCTGTTGGCGGTGTGGGTGTTGCTGCTGCTGCGTATGATGATGTGTGTTCTGTTGTGGCATAACGAAGGTGTCTGCAGTGTTTGAAGTGTCTCCAGTAGCAGCCTTAAGCCTGTCTAGTTCTTGCTTGAGCGCGTCATTCAAAGCTGTTTCACAAGGTACATGAGTCAGACTATACATATAACATCATGAAATGAAGCTGCTATATCCTTAAGATGCCTAATTCATTATTAGCATAGAATGATGACAGTAAACGGGGGTTACACGTACCATCACGTAATTGAGCCTGTTGTTCCATGGACTCTAATTGACGTCTGAGATCCATGTTCTCGTTTGTTAAACCAGTTGTATCTCTCTGAAGATGAGAAAACAAAATGCATAAAAATCTGGTTTTAGAACCAGTTAAAAAAGCAATTTTGATGAATTTTAACACAACATTCTACCACATTTTATTCTGACAAGAGAAAGAAATACGAGTTATTAAGCATGATTGTTGTTTTTACCTAAGCTTGTAAATGACAACTAACTAACTATCATCTTTGATGCACAAAATAAAACTCGTACAAAGTGTTATGTTTTCGTAAAGCTCAAGGAGATTCAGGGGAAACAATTTCTATACCAACCTTAAAAAGTGAGAGCTGTACAGAGAGTGCAGTTGCTTCAGTTTGTAAAGATTTGACTCTTTTCTCTAGCTCCTGCATATATCGAGCCTTTCGTTCTTTCGATCGAGCAGCAGACTGCCTATTAGCCAGAATCCTACATGAACATTTTCATTTTAAGTCTTACTTGTTACAAGTATTTGTCTATTATCCATACTAAGAAAATTACAATCATGTTCTAGCTAAGGTACACCAGGGAAATTTGTCAGAAATGAATTAAGAAGTAAGATTGCAAATAAAATTTCTTCCAAAAATCACCATCATGATCCCCTCCCACACCCACATTTCGAAATTCTCCTTGTTATAAACATCATCGGTCTAGAGAATTTTGAAGGCGGTTGATTCTAAAATAACTAAAATTTCATAAGGAACAAGTTTATAAACTCAATTAATTGAGGACAATTGACCTCAATTCTTCTAACAATAACATAGATCCTCCCCTGCACACATTACCTTTTTTTTTCCCCTAGAAAATCAAAATTGCTGGTATGTGACAGAGAATATACGATCAATATTATTATTATAAAAACTAAAAATAAAGGAAACATGCACTTTTGTTTTATACTACCTCCGCTAAATGTTATATGCAACTTTGAAATATTTTATGTCTCACAAATAATACCCTCAAAGTTGCACATAACATTTAACGGAGGTAGTAGATAAGATTATAAGAAAAGGGGTAACCTCTTAGCTCGTTTAGGATCAGCAATCCACAATTCAGCCAATTTATGAGGAGACATAGCCTTCTTAGCTTCACAAGAAGCAATCCCAGAATTATTATTAATATTGCTAATCTTGGTATAATCATTGTTATTATCATTGTCATTGTCATTATTACTCGTAATCCCTAAAAATTCTTCGACTAACATGCAATGTCTAAGCTTTTGATTATTATTATTGTTATTATGATGATCCTGAGGAGCATTATTGTTATGACAATTGATGGGATCATTTTGTTTATCGTCGAAATACTCGATTTTCTCCATATCCATATAAGTAGCCAAGAGATCATCAGCGTCATCACCTCCTTCCATGGAACCCCCCAAGCTAATTTCGTCAGGAATTCGTAAAAGGATCTCTGAGTGAACTCTCCGGTGGCCCATTACCAGAGAGACTACGCTAGCATTACCATTGACATTGACCTGGACATGTTGTAACTATATATGTGCCGCGATTATTTTATGTTTTTATTTTTTTGACCTCTTTTCCTCTCGAAAAAATTATTGGTGGTGGTGGTAATGATTGATGACGGGAGGATGGCGAATTCTCCCGTCGAAAAAATGGAGAGAGGGAGGAGAGATAGGAAAAGAGAAGGGAGAGGAGAGGAGAGGGACGTTAACATGAAATGTGTGGGCGGAGGAGCGATATTTTTGGAGGGAATTTTTGTGATGAGAGGTTCTTATATGAATGAATAGGGATTTTTGCGAAACATAAGCTTCTTCCCTCCAAAATTATGATTTTTTTTTTTACTTATTTAATTATTATTAGTAGTAATTACTTTCACTATATATATATATATTTTTTATTTGGATAAAGCGAGTAAGGAATTGAAAGTAAATGATATTAAAACACCATGCTCATCAAGGGTACACCTAATGCGAGTAGAGGTGAGTATGATCGAATATTCAAACCATAATTATTATTATGGGATTAGGTTTTCTTCAAAAAACTTAAAATGTTATTTATGAACCAAATTTATACACGAAGTGTAAATTTGGGAGTGAATCAAATATTAGATACTCGATATGATATCTAGATATAAAAAGTTATGCTTTAATTATTATATCATTTAGCTAACGTAATCTCAACTATTTAATTTGTTCAAATTATAAAGCTATCATAAAACAGTGTAGGAGTTCAGGTGTTGGATGTATAAAATTTAAATGGATAAAAATGGTAAAATTGTTTATTAATTAGATCTTTATGGGGTACCCATCAACTTTCAAAAGTGAATTATTATGGAATTGGATACTTGAACCATTAGAATTGTCTACCTTTCGAAACGAATTTTGGGATTTTCAGTTTTTCATACACTTTTGCTCAACCCTATTACAACTCATGCATACACTACTATATATAATAAGTTTTACGACATACATCCAAAATACAACTTTCATGGGCAAGATAGATTTTTGGACATCCAAAATTGGAATGGAACCAGTTCTGAAAGTAAATCAGATCTTGTGTACTGTTTCCAATTCCAAGTAATAAAGTTAAGAGCCAGTTACAAGACTTACAACCTAGTCAATTATGGTTCCCTTTATAATAGAATAGGGATCGGTTAGGGCCTATTCTGATTCATTAAAAAGAACTGAACTGAACTGAACTAATTATAGCTGAACTGAATATAGCTTAAATGAATTGTTTATGAAAAAAGAAAATTAGGATTAAACTGAACTAAACTGAACTGATTGTAACTGAACTGGATTGAACTGAAATTAAGCTGAAGAGAACAGGCCCTTAGGTGTTTAGTTACCCAAAAATTACCACTAATATAATTTTTAAAAATAAAAATGAAGGGAAAAAAAAAGTATTATGTTGAATATATATATATATATATATATATATATATATATATATATATATATATATATATATATATATATATAGTGAGATTGTGAGACCAAATGTTGTTACTCCGTATTAAGAACTAAAAATAAATGAATAAATTATAAAAGTCTGAAAAACGAATCAAAGTGGAATTAATTCATGTCTAATTGTGTCGAGTCATAACTACTCACACACCTAAGTTGCAATAAATTAGAAACATGTTCTTCATGCCACATATTGCATCATGCTTTTCATTCCAATTTCAACCCCCCAACCTAGCAAGCATAATGTCATGATGTGCCAAGCCCAGCCCCATGATTTAGATCGGCCTGTCTTTGTTAACTCTAACTGTACTCTCATTAAGACGAGCAAACTCCAAAATGTTACAGGAATTTCCAGTTGTCTATAATTCATTGGTGCTAATTTATATACATTGACGATAATACTAAGATTCTTAAACCATGAATGTGGTTTTTTCGCTCTTGCTACTTAGATGAATCATAAAGCAAAGACCAAGATGCCTAAAAACTAAGCATGAATGGTATTACTACTCCGTACTAAAAACTAAAAGTAAATGAATAAATTATAAAAGTCTGAACACGAATAGAAGTGGAATTAATTCATGTACGATATTGTGTCGGGTCAAAAGACTAATAACTACTCCTATACGGCTATACCTAAGTTGCAATAAATTAGGACATGTTCTTCATGCCACATATTGCATCATGCTTTTTATTCCAATTTCAACCCCCAACCTAGCAAGCATAATGTCATCATGTGTCAAGCCCAAGTTCCCAATTCCGATCCATGACTAAGATGGGCATGTCTTTGTTAACTCTAACTATACTGCCCTGTTTGGTAGTAAGCTTATTGGGGATATATTAGCTTATTTGACTAACTCTAGCTGATTGACTACTCAAACAAGCAAATACAAGTGTTTGGTAGTAAGCTTATTGAAAGAGCTTATTCCACTAAATAAGCTCTTTTTGAAAAAGCTCATTTTAGGAGCTTTTTCAATTAGCTTATTCATTAATTATTATGAAATGACACTTATAACCTCATTTAATTTAAAATCCTATCTGAACTACCTACCCCACAATTAGCTTATTGATCATTTCACATACTCAATCACCTTTAAGCTATCAGCTATTTACCAAACACTTTTATATAATCAGTTAATACAATAAGTTAGTCAAATCAGTTAATAGAATCAGCTATTCAAAACCAGCTAACTCAATCAGGTTCAACTTTCAGCTTTCTCCCAAACAGGGCCACTCTCTTTTTTTTTTTTTTTTTTTTTTTTTTTTGAAAAACTATACTCTCATTTAGACAAGCAAATAAACTCAAAAATTTAAATATGCAAGCATATAACCTAATCTTTTCCCTAATTCTAGGAATTTTTAGTTGTCTATAATTCATTGGTGCTAATTTATATATATTGACGATAATACAAAGATTCTTAAAGCATGAATGTGGTTTTTTTTAGTTCTTGCTACTTAGATGAATCATAAAGCAAAGACCAAGATGCCTAATGTTGGGAGTCAATAATCAAGTATGATAAAAATAATATGGCTTTATCCCAATATTTAGGGTCCAGCACATCCATTGGCTAATAGAGAATTAGCAAATATAGATACAATGATTATATAATTAAAAACAACACGCTTTATTTCATTTCATATTTTAATTGACATAATTACTAATTATTTTTTCTTTGAATAGATAATATAGATGACATAGCAGGATTATTTAACGCTACATATAAATATACTTATTTCAGTCTCGGTGGGTCATGTCTCTTGAAAGTGTTCAAGAGAGGAGGATAATGAGAAACTCTATCCTAAAGAACCAAAACCGGTCTTGAATTAGCCTACTAATTAACAAAGAATCGCTTTGCCAAAATTTGATTAAGTGATATTCTTAGTGTTAATCGTAGTTATCAAGTTAGAATCTCATGACAAGACATTGGGTACCTTTTCATTACTTGATACAACCCTCCTCCTTGTGATGCCACTACCACTTTTAGTGGATTAACAAGAAACATATCACATAACACCTTCCTAGAAATTGCCCCCCAAAAAATCACAAAAAAAATATTTGAAAAAAAAAAAAAAAATCCATAATTTCTTCCCAAGTTTGAAGCAATCTAAAAGTGTGAATGAATGAATTGTCTTCTCATGATTTTCCTCATATATCATCCGATTAACCACAAACACTATTCTCTTCTTTATTTCATTTCAACCAAATTAGATTTGACAATCATATCATTAGTCTCCTACTATACACAACACATATACACACTTCAATTTAATTGTCCTATATAATCCATCATCATCAAATAGTGTAGAAGTAGCTTAGCTAGCACAAGCTAAGAGCTAGCTAGCTAGCAATGGTGTGGCCTCGGCCGCCTCACCGCCACCTCCTCCATGAAGCAACACCACCCACCGCAACCTCACCACATAGCAACGAAGCCCATGTCACAAGAGCCAATGCCGGTATAGATGCTAACATGGTAGTCATCCTAGGAGTGTTACTTTTTGCCTTGTTATGTACCCTAGGGCTAAACTCACTTGTCCGGTGTGCCACCCATTGTTGCACCGGCCACCACCACCACCACCGGCAAGAGCTAGGTAACACGTACGTGGGGGCGATAAGTCAAGGGCTAAAGAGGAGCACCATAAGGCAAATCCCAACAACAATATATGATATAGCAACAAGTGTTATGATGTCAACAGATTGCATGATATGTCTAGGGGAGTTTATACAAGGGGAGAACGTAAAAGTGTTACCAAAATGCAAACATGGGTATCATAGTAAGTGTATTGATACATGGTTGCTTTCGCGTTCGACTTGTCCTACATGCCGGCAATCACTATCCGAATGGACGGGCAACGATGCCATTGTGGTGCCTATGGAAATTATTGGGAATCGTACCTCGAATCGTGAGGTACGTGGTGTTGATTGTTGAAGATGCTACACAAAGGCATTAGAGAATAAATTGTGTGGTTGTTAGGGAGATGATTGATGAGTGAGATGAGCTAAAGTTGTGAGAAACATCCATGTCAATGTACCTTTGAAGCACCACCTTTATTTTAAAAAAAAAAAAAAACCAAAAGAGAGGTATTTTGTAGATATGTAGTTATGTTGTAATGTATCACCATGTGTATATGTATGTGTTTAATACATGTGTATCCGTACCCTTTTTTCACGAGATACTACAAAGCTAGTTGCATATACAGGATCTCTTGGGACCGGGAGGAAAACTCTAACCATTTGAGGTATCTCTTACTCCCCTTTAATTTCGTACTTGGTATTATTATATGAGTCTTATGACTAGATGTGGCAAAATACATCGTTTTGATTGACTTTGTTGGGATTTGGTTTGGGTTGTACATTGGGTGTTTACTCTTTCAATAATTCTATTTGGTTTTCAATGATATTACTTCTAAGAGCATCTCCAATGGTTTAATTGTAAGGACTTGCTTGCAATATAAATAAAATTTCTAGCTACATACTTACCATTGGAGAACAAAAAATTGAGCACCATGCTAGCAATTGTAGCCCAAACAAGCTACATGCTTGATTGAAAAAGAGACAAATAAACTACACTTATATTATAATATGTGATAATTATTTATTTATTTATTAAAAATTTATTTTTTACAAACTAAAAAGTGTTGTAGCTTACAATTGGAACACTTTGTTGCTAAAAAGTGTTGTACCTTAAAAATTAATATAGAAAAGCAAGCTACAAAACATTGTAGTTTGCCATTGGAGATGCTCTAAAATTCCAATGTTATTCATACTAATTATTTGGGCTTTCTTTAACAAAAATTACTTTTTTGGGCTGGATCAGTAGATGAGGCCTTTTCAATTTGGGCCATTATTGGGCCAAGTTAATATAATTTTGCATGCAGTTTGATTTTGAAACAGACAATTTTGTTACATTATAAACAAGTACTCCCTCCATCCTTTTATTAGAGTCTCATTTCTCTTTATTATGTGAGTAATAAATGTTAGAAATGGGACTCTAATAAAAGGACAGAGGAAGTTTATTTCGTGTATATGTCATCAGATTTGTCTCAGACTACTTGTGAGTTCTGAGTAATGTCAATTTATTTCGTGTCTTTAACTGATGCAAATCCGACATACATGAGATGAGACGAGTTTTGCAAGAGCTGTTATTACCAAAGAGGACATTAATTATTATTAGTACATGAAACATAATGAATCAAAAGGAATCCCACCAAAACATACATTTGTTTCCACCAGTGTGCTAAACAGCACAAAGTTAATAAGGCACAAGTGCACAACATGATCACAAGAGACTACACCCATTTGCGCTACATTCATTTGGATAACTCGGCTGAGAGGTTGTTAGCCAAGCACTCGATGGTTGAAGGACTCACTGACCTGCTTCCGCCTAAGTACCATTTCTTGATCATCTCCGCCACATTCTTGTTCTCCACTGCTGTCTTCGTTTCTTCTTTCTCATCCGTTGTTATAGTGATCTGACATAAATAAACTCCGTATCAATACAACTCATAGACCTATCAAAAATTGGCTAAGCCCATACCTTGCCTAAGAAAGTCCAATCAACATGACAACATAGACTTGAAATTTTGAAAAACCATGAAAAATTAGTTTAAAAATCCACTTCAAATCGAAAATTGAGTTTCACACATAGTGGCATAAAAGAAAACCATTCCACCCTAAACGTAAATTTGATCCAAACCCGTAAATCCAACACAATGAAACTGGAACAAATTGTATTAAAATCTCGAAAGGCCATTAACATAGGTACAAAAAAAAACACTTCTAACTCGAATAGTTAGATTGATCCTGCAGATTAGTACAATAGATCAAATTGAGTTTTTTAGTGATACATCATAATGTAGGTCCTTTTCTTTCCTAGTAAAAGATATATTTGCACCAGTATTTAGCATATAATAATTGCTACTACCATTACTAATACGAGCAGCAAGTAATTAATTAAGAAGTATACCTCAGCAGTGCCTGAAGCAAAGAAGCTGAAAGTGAAGAAAGAGTTTTTCTTAAGGTATCTGGTAGGAAAAAACTCTGCAACCTTCTCAAGCGCGATTTCTTCCTCTTCTTCATACTTGTCGATAGCTGCCAATCGATCCCTTACTGCACCCTCCAGCTGTGTGCCTAATTGTGAAGCCTTAATCTCCTTGATCACGACCGCCTTAATAACTGTTTCGACAGGTGCTGTAAACAAAACACATATCATCCAAAGAATTAGCATAAAATTCTTCTGAACTTCAAACTGTCAAGTTACAAATCATGTATTTAAAACAGTTTGTTCTGTTACTATTTGTTCATGTCTTTTTACCTGCGGTAAGAGCATCAAAGAAATCATCATCCTCGGCGAGTTCTTTTCCTGATTTACCCTTCCATTTCTGCAAGTGTTGTACCACTTCTTTCTCCATGTACACTCCAATTGCTGTGAACTTTATTTGCAGAAAGTGGATTTCTAGCTCTGTGCACCCTGTTGTGTCCAAAACAGAATGTTCATATTTGCTTAAACTGATGCAAAACAGAATTAGATCATCTTAACAGATTGATAATATAATGCAGCTAATTACTGAAGTGTAATTAGGCTACACCACTAGGTGCACCTTCAGTCCCTTGGGTCTCGGCCCGGGTTCGATGAATTTCTTGTGGCTAATGTACACTTTGGACTTACCATAACAATGCAATAAATTAAATACTAGGAAATAATTTGATCTTCTTCAAAATATGTCTTCAATGATGATGCAATCAAGTTTGATTACAAAAAAGAAATAAAAAGCTTGATTAAATAGAATCACTTACCATAACCTAATAAAGGTAGTGATTTAGTCAATGTAAGTTCAGGAGCAAAAGCAATATCATCAACCATTACATCGTTTCCCACTGCATCATTAGTAAAAAAGCCAAATTAGTGATCACACAAAAAGAGGGTTTGATGTCTATATAAGCAATTGCAAGTTCTAGCCTTTTAGGTGCTTGGTTGGTGCCATATTGTTAAGGACACTTTGCTTACAATAGTCATTTTTTCCCCTTTTCATACACATAACTACATACCTTTTGCTCAAAAAAAAAAAAAAAAAAAAAAAACCTACATACTTGTTTTCTGAATTTAGTGTTAAAGGTACCAACTAATTCGTTTTTTAGAAAGTCACAAAAGAAAATGATCTAGAAAAGACTTGATCCAAATTTAGTATATATCACCCATGTACAAGAATATTAATTATACTATACTCGTATCATTTAAGCAATTAAACTAGCTGACACTATTCGTGTACTAAAAACTACTTATATTCGTTTTTTGTCGACCAAATGTCAATTTGGGGTATACAAACCCAACCTAATATAAATTAATTAGGACTAAATATGTGACAAATTTGAGCATTGAATGGTATAATTAATGATTGATTTAACTTAGAATTCTCTTTTCAACGTCTTATATGCAAATCTAAGATCACATGCAACTATATGTGAAAAAAATCATTGAAACAAAGTCATGCAACATGGACATCTTATACAATGACCAACTAACAATTTTACATGTCATATAACTTAAGAATAAGAAGAAGAAAAATATCACAGATGATGAACACGTTATACATATGGGCATGCATACATAGTATTAATCACATCATAAAAACATCAATGGAAACAACATAATCAATTAATCATACACAAATCTAATAAATTCGAGGGGAAAAAAAAAGGGATAAAACTACTTACTGATAATAGTAGAATAATTAAGAACAACTTCCAAAGCAGAGCTGATAAATGAGAGAGAAAACAGAGGATACAAGTGTAGTGCAAAGTGTATGAATGTTAGAAAATTAGTTGAGTTATAAATAAAAGTATACAAGGGTAGCTAACGATCAAAGGAAAAGTGGGTAGGTAAAGCTTAAGAGAGGTTGCTCTATTCTCTACGTTCTCAATTTCTAGTCAATAAATTTGTGTAGTTTTTTTTTTTATAAGTGTCCTTCTTTCTTGGTCTAGGTGGGAGCCACCGCCCGCCTGGCTCTATATTTTAAGCTTCATAAATCGCCCTTCTTTAATGACATTTTTATGCTGGTGGACCCTGATAATGCAGGGTCCATTTGTAACAGAAAGATCATGAGTTCGGTGTTTACCAATCGGGATATATACTTTCTCTGTTTTTTTAATGCATCAGTTTAAATATTTAATCGATATATTTATTAAGTCGTAACTTTAATCATTAATATATCGTATTACTTATTTTAATCTTGTTTAAATAATTATTGATAAGTAATAAAAACAGGGTATTATACAAAGTATAAGGGGATAAAATAGATGTCATCTATTTGAATGTCGTAAGAAGTACTTCCTATCTCTTATCTATAATATAATCTATTAAAAGGCGTACTAAAAACGTCTTTGTGCTTCATACATCACGCCACGTCACCTACTCCATTTCTTACATGCAAGAAGGATGGTTATTTAACCATCTAAACCAATTATCAACTATATTATAAACATGAAGATATATACAATTGATAATCACAAAATCTATAAAAAAAAAAAAAAAAAAAAAAAAAAAAAAAAAAAAAACACACTTTATGAATACCAAATACGTATAATCACATGGAGTAATTAAAGTAGTATCTCGATACAACGCCTGGGCTACACACTAGTTGCTTATTTAAATCTTGTTTCAATAATAATTGATAACTAATAAACAAGCGGCAAGAACATTATACAACGTATTTCACATGGACTTTGTCCATAATAATTATTATTTTCTAACCTTATACAAAATATTAAAAAAATAAAATAATGTTTGTCTCAAGAATTAACATTTGCGTGATGACAAAAGGCGTCCTTCATTATTTAATAATTAAATTAATCACAACATTTTCTTTTCTTGTAACTTATAATGTGATTGCTACATACGAGTATTAAAAAATTAAAGGGTGCATATTTTTACAAGTTAATTGGCATTATTAAATATTTAAATCTGAGAAATTAAAAGAAAATTAGAGATCAAAATTACATCTTTTTGAAGAATTGAACGATTTAACCCTAGATGTGTCATTATCAATTATGTTTGATTTGCTAAAAGCCTAAAACTATAAATATTGCGTTTATCTTACGTGTTCCTGGCCTCCTCCTTGTGTGTTTACATATGACGTGTAAAATGCAATACAAGAGAACGTAAAATTAATTATATTTTAAAATAACTAACCCTCACAAGTCACAACTCACAACGAAACACACATATTGACTTCTACTTTAAAATTATACTTCAATTTGGACTAGAAAATTAGAGCTGTCCGATTTGAATGATTCAGAAAATGTAGTTCCATAAAATAGAATTGAATTTTACTCCGTATTAATTTGTTGAATGTTATTACTCGTAGCATCCATGCTTGAAGCTTGTATACATAATTGAATCATTATTTTTTTGGCAAATATACATAATTAAGTCAAGCAGTTGAATAAATATTGAGTGACAAACCAAATATTAAAAGCATATATTTATTCAACTACCTTTCAAGAAAATTTGAAGATTGAAGACCATGCATGTAGTTAGCCCAAACAATTAATATCCACCATTCATTTTTTTATTTTTTTATTGGGGAAGAGATGTCCACCGTTGATTTTACCTAACTTCATTTTTTTAGGTAGTTTTACCTAACTTTTTTGCCATTTGTTTAACAAAATGTCAAACTTCAATTTAGAAAGATGAAAATAGAAGAGTTTTGAAACTACACTTTTTCCCCTTCTTTTTTTTTTTTGAAGGCCTTTCTCCTTTTTGGAAATCACAAGGGTCAAGTAATTTGTCATGCCACTTATAATTATTCTTATACATTCACTTTTTGGATGAATTTTCCTGTGAGTTTTCTATACAGCTTAAATTAGGGTTAAAAATCGACGTGATACTACACGTTATTTATGATGATAAAACTTTATATTTAATTTATATAACAAACTTTTTTTATTGTTAGGAAATTAGGGTGTAATTGTGTTTGAATAATGCGGAACAAGTCAATGAAATTAAGAACGAGAAAAGCAATAAAAAAGATAAACAAAGAACACAAGGATTTACGTGGTTCGGTCAAAATAGACCTACATCTACGGGTGGGGGATTCGAGAGCTTCTTCACTATAATGGAGAAAGAAACAAGAGAATAATATAAGGAGTCTTAAATCTAATGACTCAATAAGGTATGATCTAATTGATCAACTAAAGGGTCCTTTTATAACACAAGGAAACCTAATAAAACCCTAAGATTGTTCCCCAAGTATACTCAAATAGCCGTCATAGAAAAGATATAATTTTAGGAAATATTCCATAAATTATCCTAAAATAACCTAACTACTGAGCTATAGCTCGGCAGCTAGCTCATGCCTGCCGCAAGACCTCATAGGGCCGAGCTATAGCTCACTCGCATAGAGGTATAGCTCGCAGCCTCGTTGCAAATTTCCAGTTTCGTCAGGTTTTTGTAAAACGGTCATAACTTTCTCGTTTCTTATCGGAATTGGCATATGACCTATCGTTGGAAAGATCTTGAACCAAGCTATCACCTCCAACTTGAATCACCTAAATCAGTTGTAGTTTGAGAGATATAAGCGTTCAAAGTCAGCCCTACTAGATTTCGAGTCACAATTTAACATTTATGATGACTAATCATTGTTGATTAACTTGATTATGTTTTGTTAATATTACCAAAATAAGTTAAATTGCTACCCTTAACTACCCTCAGCGAATAAGAATATTCAATTTATTTTCCATAATCGCAAATATTATTTACAAATTATAATATAGTTACATCAAGAGTAGGGAATAGGATAAGTGAGGAATGTTGAAAAGAACTGGAAAAGGATGGCTGGATGGGTAGAGCTAGATATAAGTGTTGGGTAGGTACAAGTTCATGGAGTGTGAAATTATGAAGCCACGGTGGGTAAAAAATTAAATAAAAGTCTTATTTGTAATTTACACATGTTTATATGTTATAAAATATTTATTCGTAATAAAAAAATAATAAATAAATATTCAAGCTTAGTTGATTTTATCAACGTCTAATTATTAAAATAAGGTCTATTAAAAAAAAAATTAGAGCAAGGGCAAGTTTGTTTCGATTTATTGAAAACAACTAAACAAAACTGATTGGGGATAAAATGAACTGAATAGAGCTAAAATAAATTGTTTATGAAAGAAGAAAATTAGGAACTGAACTGATTGGAGCTGAACATAACTGATTGGAGTTGAACTGAACTGAAATTAAGCTGAACTGAGCTGAATTGAACTTATTATAGCTGAGCTGAACTAAACCAAACTGAACTGAATATTTTATAAGAGAAGGAATTTAGGAGCTGAATTGAACTGAAAATAATCATATGAGAACATACTTTAAGTCTTTTATGTGGCTAGCCACACGGTGTGGTCACATTGGTTTACAAGAATAATCTTTATTTATATATATGAGTAACCCCACTTTTTCATAAGAGTAACTCCATTTTGTCTAATTAATAAACTCAAAGCACTATATGAGTAATATTAACTAGTTTAGAAACAAGTAACCCTCATTTGTTCATTCAAGTCACTCCTATTCTTTTCTTTTAAAAAATCAAAGAATGAATCTATATATTTAAGAGAGTAACGTCTTTTTCTCATTTAAGTAACCCACATACATTAAGGTTACATCATTTGCTCGTCATCGTGAAGTCCATAACCACCTAATTTTTTAATTAATTGTCTTATATGTGAAGTGACAGCTAGCCACATATAAGAATTTGTGAAAAATCTAATAAAATAAGGGTAATCAAGAACTCAAGATAAATATAAGAATTTGTGAAAAATCTAATAAAATTTGTTATGAGACATTATTATTGTAACCTTAGAAACAAAAAACTTAAAAGAAAATAAAGATTGGAGCTTTCAACAAGGGATGTCAGTGGGACGGGTCAAGTAGGAGACCCACCCCATCCCCGCCCCGGTGGGGCGGGGATAGGGATAAAATCATACCCGCCATGGGTGATGGGGCGGGGGTGGATTTTACATTGTACCCGCCCCATCCCCGCCCCGCTCCACCCGCTCCACTTCGTACCCGCCTTATCCCCACCTCATACCCACATCTATATATTTTATAAAATAAAATTATATACTTTATACTATTTTATATACTACCTCCATTCCAAATTACTCGCAACTTTGGAATATTTTATATCTCACAAATAATACCCTTAAGTTGCGAGTAATTTGGACCAGATGTAGTATTAAAAAAAATATGTAAAATAAAATAGTAGATATAATAATTTGTAATACACTAATTTTATAACTAAAAAAAGTGTCTAATATTAATAATAATTTTATTTGTTGTAATTTATACATAGTATTAAATATGTTGGATTGTGTATGGGGAGGTGGGTCTTAGGTGGGGATTAGGCGGGTTTTAGGTGGGGATGGATATCCAAGTGGGGGTGGGGCGGGGATGATTTTGGAATTGTACCCGCCGGGGCGGGGATGGGGATGAATTTTGGACCGCCGCGGGGATGGGGACGGGGATGGGGATGAAAATTTTAGGTGGGGGTGGGAAGGCCAACATCCGCCCCGACCCGCCCCATTAACATCCCTACTTTCAACTGGTGAAATCCGATGGAATGGAGGCTAGAGTTTAGGAGAGAAAAGAGAGAGAGAAGAGGCTAGGGTTTTTTTTATTGATAGCTTAATTACTTTTTGATACTCCCTCCACTTGATTATTGGGTCATATAAAAGCATTTTAGTCCCAATTTAGTATTCTGGACATAGCTTCCTCATTATTCATCGGAATTGGGCTTATAATATATAACAATGGAAAGCTTTTTTTGATCCCAATCCAACTATAACCCTTATCATGGACCAAACTAAATTGGACTGGACATTTTTCATAAATAGAGTAAGAAAAAATATTTTCGAAAACAAAAGATGTTCTTTGACTTCTTTCATATTACTAATTTCTACCGTTTAAATCTTAATTATATTAAACTGAAATTATTTTT